CATGGGAATTTCCAGAAAGAGCTAAGGTTTTTGTCTTTTGCACATTTTTCCAGAAATCAGGTCTACATTTGATCCACATAGTCCAGGAGTGCATGGCCCAACCTTGGTTACACAAGGTGATAGCACCTTTTGGTGCTGTTTTTTAATAGATTAATCACTTGTCATATACAAGGCTGATACAAATGACCCAATTTTGAGGGGGAAATTACAGTAATCCACTGTAAGATTTTGGAGCAACCACTGGAAAACTTGTCACCAGCCCTGGACAGAGAACTGCAGAAAGATGAGTCAGGAAGAAAAAGTGCAGGTAGGGAGACAGAGGACAGTATGTGAATCCTGGGACCAAAAGGTTCTGCAGCAGATTGTAGCGTGGAAGAGTCAACTTTCCAGTGATGGACAGGCCCTGCAGGTTAGTTGAACTTTAGACATCTTTGGCTAATGTGGTAAAGTTTGAGGGACGGAAAGAGGGGAGAACATAAGGCAAAGAGTGGAAAATTTAGATGGATGGTGTAGACAGGCAAATGTCCAGCTATCGGAAGGACAAATAATAAGGGATCAGAAAGAATACATCTTGAAAGAGCACAGAGATTTGGGGAAACACAAAGACTTTTGAACGATGCGACTCAGAGCAGTTTACAGAGCTCTAAGCACACAAAACCCATCCTTGGCTGCAGAAATTCCTAATCTGGAGATGGCTGGGGGCTGGAGAATACTCAGGGGAAAAGCTGTATGTGCTTACCCTGTGTTCATACTTCTCCCCAGGCATTTTGCTTTTGCCACTATTGGAGACGGGAGATAGATGGACCTTTGGCCTAGCTCAGTGTGGTGACTGTCATGTTCTTGTGCCCCTCATGTTGTGAAAGAGTTGGAGTCCTTGTGGTGAGTCGTCCGTTAGCAGAAGCTGCAGGACAAACTGCGCTTAGTACAGCATGTTGCTGAGTCAGGAACAGGAGGGACCTTGCTGGCATTCCTCAATGCTTTGTGCATTACATACTGAACATCTCATGAGGAGAACACTGTGTATCCCCAGAACACCTGGGCTCTTCACCAAGATGTCTGTACAGAGGTTCAGCAGGTCGCTGCCTGCCCAGGCTTCTGTAGGATGGCAGCACAGCTCTCCATCTCACAGCTGCTGTTGCTGTTTGAGCTGAGCAACTGGGCTGCGTGGCTGCCTAGGGACTTCTCCTGGGGCACTGCCCTCACCCCTGGCCCACTGCAACCCTGGAACCTCCTCACTTTGGCCTGTCAGCCACAGCGTTCTTGTGAGACTGCTCTTGTCTCTGGGGGCAGGGAGACCTTGGTGGAGCTGTTGTTCCTCTCCCTTGGCTCGCATCTCGGTGGCTGGCGACATCTTGCTGAGCCCCTGCTCCAGCCATTCTGGCTGCCTCGCTCCTCCCTGCTTCCTTGGGCTTGGTCTTCATGACTCTCTTGAGGCTGTAATTATCTCCCATGAGTAGTGCCGGAGCTATCCTGTTTTGTCTATCAGGAGGGATCTCAATTTTTCCAAGAATACTCTGGCACTTTTAAAAAATAATTGTCTCCTGAGGAGGTAACAATACTGCTCACCTCCTTTCTGCTTTTCCTCAGAGAAAGGCTCTGTTTCCATCTGTTAACAAGTAGGAATAAGGGGAATCTGTGTCCAAAGCAATTGAGAGGGCAAGGAGGGCAGAGCAGCATTTGTACACATATACAGTAATTTCTGCTTGGTGTGTGTATACATGTGCACGTGAGTGACATTTATCAACAGAACATTTTTTCTAAGGTCAGTACTTTTCTCTGCTTGGGAGAAACAAGCCTTGCCAATAGCTGGATTCAATTCATAAGAAACTAGGTGGAAATAATGATGAGGAAATGAGAAAAATAAGCTTTTGGTGAAATAATTAATGACTGGTTGTGACACAATCTCACAGCAGCAATCCAAGGCTCAGGGAGATCAGAGGAGCCCATCCGCTGCCAGACAATGCTTACCATGCAAAGCCAAGTAGCCTCCTGTTTGCAATTTAAAATCATAACGATATACATGGACTGCAGTTGGTGGCGGCTTGTTTGTTTTAAGTTCTCCTAACAAAGTAACAGCACTCCTTTCGTCTCATCTGTAGGAGGGGAGACCAGTGTGTTCCAAGCAGCTTGTAGCGTGTAAGACAGGTCCATCTCCAAGCAGCTAAAGCCAGGAGATGAATGTTTCAACATGTGTGAATTATTCTATTGCCACCAAACTGAACAGAGCTCAGCCGCTCACGGATCTGGTCCAAAAAACTGAAACCAGTGATTCTCAGCTCTGGATGCCTGCAGAAGGGTGGGATTTTGACTGTAAAAGGTGCAAAGGAAAGGCAAAACCGTTTCTCAACAGGCTTGCATGTGATTTAATGGAGTCCTCACCCCCTTAGCAATATCTGTTTATGGACCCACAAGTGGATTAAGTAGAAAAATACCTGGCCTAAAATAAATAGTTCTTGGAAGGCCAAGAGCTGTCACATGGAGCGGTGGATGAGATGGTGGGGGTGGGTTGGCTTGGTTCAGGAGTCATCTTTAAAGTAAATCTCCCTGTTGTCCTTCTCCCCCAGTTCTGCTGCACAGTAACGTGGTCTATGCTGAGCAAACTGGATTGCTCTGCCTGAAACCAGGTGCTCCAAACAGGCTCTGACTGCCAGTGGGTGGCTTCAGTGCACACAGCCAGGTACAGCTGGTCTGACACCCCCAAAATAACAATGATGTGAATACAGGGATTCTCACACCATGCATTTCATATCGTTCTGCTCTGCACAGCATTACTGCCAGGGCTAGCAGAGCTGTGCCACCATCGTTTGCTCTGCTCCTAGGAGGAGGTGAGCAGTTGGCTGGGCACAGAGCTTCCCTGCCTGGACTGCTCGGCACTGCTGCTGTCCCGAGCAGATGGGGTGAGAGGCAGGAGGGGAGGCAGCCCACTCCTGATCGCTTCCAGAGGTCCTGTTTTCAGCTTGGTTGAGGCACTGCTGAGTCATTTTCATGCAGAATGAGTTATGGCTGTGTTTAAAACCTCTCTATTATCCTTCAGTAATCCGGAGCTCAATCTTGCGTTCTAATGCTGTCCTTCTAAAGTGCAGATTTATATGTAAAACACTTTGCACTTCGGTTTCCTCCTAAATAATAACTAACGTTTTTCTTCTGAAGGCTTTATAACATTAGCTAACTAGTCCTGACAACACCCTGGTTTTCCACATGCACAGCAGAAATCTTGGATGAGCTTCTTAAGGCTGGTGTTTTCAATTCTCATGGTTTTATTGTGAGTCTGGGGTGGGCTTTTTCTTCAAGTCTCAGCTCCTGGAAGCACATGATCACATGACTAGATCACTTTTTTTTTTTTTTTTTTTTTTTTTTTTTAAACAATAAGTTTCTAATTCTTCAGTTGCAGGGAAAAGCCTGAAAATGTTATCCAAATGCACTGCAAGGCTCAGAAACCAGATGCCAAATGATGAGAAGCCAAACTGGATTGCCATTTTTGAATCTCTGAAGTTTTAAGGCAATCTGGGTCTTTGCTCATGTTTTCAGAGAACAGAGGAGCTTGGCATTAAATAAACCTTCTCTTTACAAAGAGGTGAAGGAAAATAAGAACTTCAGGGGTGCTAATATTCTCTATTGGCCATCTCCATTTGCTTTCTGATTCTTATCCTGCATCTGCTTAGCTTTCCACATGGTGACCTGTCACGTTCCTCACAGTGGTGAAGAAAGTGGTAATGGTAAAGAAAAGCACGCACATAAATCTTTGCTGGAATGGAGCAAGTTTTAAATCAAATCAAATTTTCATGAACAAATAAGATCAAGGTTTTAAACTCTTCCATCTGTGACTGTGCACTCGTAGGGTGCAAACGTGCCCTGGGCCTGGGCAGGCAGTTTGTGACACTCAGTGCTACTGTAACACAGCAACCATTGCTGCTGCAGCTACTACCAATAAAACAGATCTGTTAATGTTGTGATTGTGATCATCTGCTTAGAAAGGTGCATTAAAGCTTCTGGTAGGTTCTTCTTGCACTGTGGTGCTGCAAACCAGCCATTTCCACATTGTAAAAGGAACTGGATGTCAGAAAGTGATAAACATTACTGATTTTGTGTTTCTTTTACTTCCTTATTGCTTCTGCAGTGACCCATTTAACTTCTGCCATTATTTCCCACTGACGGTGTGCTGTGTCAGCCTGCAGCTGGCTGCCTGTGGGACTGCATTCAGGTTTTTCTCACTGCATTCTCAGTCCTGTATAATCCTTGCTGCTGTAAAAGTGCTGCTGCTTTTTCATGTATACATTTTGTGTGAGGGGAATCCAATACTATTTTAATTACTCTCTGTGTGTTTATCCTTTAGCTATGAGAAAATCTCTGCTAGATTTTAAAGTCCAGAACTTCCCCGAAGGAAATATTTCCCAGCTTGCTAGATCTTAGTGATACAAGATCGTTGTGATATTAATTATAAAGCATGCTTTTCTTCATTTTCTTCTGTGGCATCTAGACAAATATTTCTGTGGCTCCCTGCACAAATCCCTTGTCCCTCCAAGCTGGAGAGCTGCCTCTCTCTCACTTCTGCTCAGGCTTACAATATCTTCTCCTTTCTAGTGTTTCGGCCATAATTGCTGCTTTTTAAACCATTCAGCCTCTTTGCTCCCATGTTTACATACTGAATTGAAAAAAAAAAAAAAAAAAAAAAAGTATTTGAGGTGGAATCACAAGCAGCAGTGGTTTCTGCCTTGTGGTGTGCATTAATACGTTACCGCACCTTCCCATGCCGCCCTGCCAGCAGCAGCCACAGAGGAGCGCTTGGTGCTGGCCGCATGGAGCTCTGCCATGTTGTAAGAGCTGATGGGAGGGCCAATTGTTTGTTTCAAGTGTTGACCACAAACTCACTTAGACAGGTTTTGTCTAGGAATCTAGCGATTCCTGTATTACAGTCTTCCTGGGACCAATTCTCTGCCCACTTCCCTTAGAATAAATCTGCGCAATGGTGTTAATTTTGCAAATCTTTATTTTTGTTTCAGTTTGGCATGTTCGAAGGCAGATGACCCTGCTTTACATTTGCTCGTGTCAAAGGCACTGCATGCTACAGACAGAGCAGACCGAAACCAACAGAGTGCTTCACAGATAGTGATGGAGGGCGAAAATGCAAAAGAACAACTGCAGCATCTAAAGGGAAGTTTTCCAAGCACGGGAGAAGGGGCATACTGGAAAGAGAAGAGCCTTCGTGAGTAAAAGTTAATGATTCTAAAATGGATGTACTTTACTGAGGAAAGCAACTAAGACTTTAAGTAATGAATTTGCTGGTGAATTACTATCAGATATGTGAGAACTGCTGTATGGACATACTTGGCAGGAAGCTGACTACCTGATAAACCCTTTCCTCTCCACTTCCAAGTGAAGCATGTTTTCCCCTTCCAGAAGGGTAAGAGCTGAGCTGAGCAGTGGCAGCAGTACAGGTACCTGGGGTGTGATGGGGCAGTGCCACGGCAAAGCTGGGCTCTGAGCATGAAGCATGCTGCCACAGTTCTTGGGCAATACAATCAAGGAGGGAGTATATTAATATTGGGATCATTTAACATTGAAATTAAGTATCTAATCAGATGGGCACATTTTTCACACACTTTCCAGAATGGAAGGAAAGATGGGGTACTACGTCAAAAGGCTGTGGTTACATCACAGGGGCCCATAACAAATTTATGAACTTCTGTGTGTCATGATGAATTTATCTGCATCAGATGACTGCTCATTTTGTATGAGCATGTCATATGTTCAGTGCGCATGGTCAGTAAAGGATATGCAGGAGTTTGAAAGATAAGTGGATGGAAATATTATTCTCCGAATCCAAACAAGTCTCTCTAGAAGAAAATTTGGAAGGGAAGTGTAAGCTGAAGACAAGTCTACTTGAATTCTGGCAGTCTGTTAGATCTTAATTGCCTATATAAAATGGGAGATAGAGGCACTTCTGCATCTCAGCAAGGTTTCTAAAGAGAACTGTATTAAGAGATGCATGGGTAGCTCAGCAGAGGAGGTGGTTTGTATACAGAAGGTGATCAGATGGCTCATCAGGATGCAATGGCAGAAAATATCTTGCTGAAGTGAGGCATGGGAAAGGGACAGCTATGATACCAATCCAACTAGTAGGGCTTCTCTGTGGCCTTCCTTGATAGATTTACCATGCTGTTCTGGTTTGTTCTCCCTTTTGTAGCTAGCTCTTCAGATGGTGCATCCTGTTGTGCGTGATTTAACACACACCTTACAATAAAGCAACTCAAGGTGGATTGAAAGATTTATGTTGCTGATACTGCAACAAATATGTCAAGTTCCAAATGGTCTCTCAATGACTTCCTGTGTTATGCTGAGATAGTTGGTTGGAGGCACCTTGGTGAAAGACAAGGCCAGCTTACAGTCATATCTAGGCATGAGTCTGATCTGCCTTTCATGCACTTTTATATTTATTGCAGAGACAATGTGTTTCACTCACAGCTTTGCTCCTCTGACAACTATTCATGCAATTTAAATAAGCTGCACTCCAATGTTTGGACATTGCCCTGCTTTCTACTTGTTTGTTTAGTGAAACTGCCGTGTAACTGCCCCAGCAGAGTCCAGAGTTATAAACAAACTTTGACTGCAAATGTGTGTTTAGTTCGGATTTCACCTTGACGCAGAGCCTTTATTTCTGGAGGAGCAGAGACACTCTCCAGAGCACATCAGCACAGCGCTGAGCACACACCAAGAACAGCAAGCACGAACTCCCTTGCAGTAAAACATGGCTAGAGAAAGGCAGCAAACACAAACATGGCATGCAGGGTTTGTTTTTACTAGAGTGCATGATTAACTTCACTGTGTTAATTCATATAGGTATTAAACTTCTTCATACTTTTGTGATAAAGCTGCTGTGAACAGCCTAAAATCTCACTTATGTCATTCTAAATCTGAAGTAACTGTCCTAATAATAGCATTTGGAGTAGATCTCCATCAAAGTCTCTAATAATTAATTTGTCCTAATGTGGGTTTTTCATTTTTCCATGTGCAGGTGCAAATCTGAATGTTTGTAATGTCTGATTTTTTATTTTTATTTTTTTTTTAGTTTTATTTTGGGGCAGCAGTGTTTGCTGAGGCTATAAATATTTAAATCCATTAGTTATCCTAGAACATAGCCCTGTTCTATTAAATATTTTAATCTGAATACACAGCATCTACCTTGAAAATGTAATATAAAGCTGTTCAAGACAGTCCAACAAAGGTAGGACAAAAACATAATTCTGAGGTCCGTTCTGTGATCTATGTGACAGCTATGACTGAATGACTAACAGCACCAGGAAACAGCCACCATCAATTCTGCAAAGTTAGCAGTGTCTTTCAAAAATAGGTTTTTCAGGAATGTGCAGGCTTCTCGTGTAGTGACTTGGGGAAGTTCTCAGTGGTACCGCTACCTACTTGGAAAAATAGGCAGATCCTGAAAATGGTATGTTTGCACCACTGAATTCATTCAGAGACTTTTTTTCCTAAAGGGATTCCCTGCAGGGGAGCTATTATACATGTTCTAGCCTGAAACTTGAGATGGCCAGAGAATGGAAATTGTGTTTCACAGACAATTTTGAGATTTTGAAATTTGTTTTCATTCCAATTCAGAACAAAACCTCAAAATGTTGAAATTCTCCACAAAGGAAAATTCCACAAAAATAAATAGTTTTGGCTTATTTGGATTATTACAACTTTTAAAAATGCATATATTATGTAAAATCAAATATCTAAATGCTTTATTCCAAAAATTGTTGGAGTATCTTCCTCCAAATGCTCTGGGTAACAGTAATAATTCCTCAAAGCGTTGTGATTCTGACAGAAATACAATTTTGAAGGAAAGATGCTCCATTAATTTCCTGTCTGAAGCCCATTAGACTTCCTATTGCCATGGTATCCAGACGTCTTGCACTACAACAAGTGTAAAGCAAAAGCTCTGCAAATATTCTAGCTCCAGAACCATGATCTACAGTATGCCACATGTGGGCTTCTCGTTACATGTTTGTGCTGTGGTAAGGACCAGAAAGTCCCCACTTATGTGAGAGAAGAGAGAAGAACTCAGTTTCTGAGGAGAGCTCTGAAGCCATGGGACAGTTGACATGAAGCTGCTCTTGATGCCACCAGGCCCCTGGCACTAGAAGTCTTCTCCCTGGCAGCAGAGCAAAGAAACCAGCTGCTCAGTGGCATCAGCACTGGCTCTTTCCATTGAATGGAAATGACCCACATGAGGAATTGAGCTCCTTGTCAGTCCCTAGCGGGGCAAAGTCCAGGGTGAAGAGATTCTAGGATTCTTTAACAAATACCAGTGTCAATAGCCTCTATCCCAGAGCTCAAAGGAGGCACTAGTGATGTGCTTTCAATGTCTGTGCTGAATTTTGGAACGTTTTTATTGTTCCAGTGTTATCTGAAGAGAACTGTGTTTCAGTTTTCATCCATGCCCAAGTAGAAGCTATTTCTTGCATTTTCATTCTATGCTGTTTTTCTTTGTGATTTCTTTTGGCTTTGATGAGTTGATTGGTAACTGCAGGCTTGGTGTTGTGAGGTGCTGGACATGCACAGCATGTGAAAAAAGTGCTTCTTTCTGGGGGTGATCTCAGGGACTCAGTCTCTTACCCTGCTCAGGGAAACAAAGTTGTGAGTACATTCCTAGGGATAACAGATGTGATACTTGCTATCCCACCTTGATTACCTGTATCTTGCCTCATCTTGCTGTTTTTCAATTGGTCAGGGAGCTCCACAACCCATGTGCTGACCCAGATTTGGGTCAGGCATCCAGCCTGCCTTATGGAACCCATGCCAAGTAATTATTTATGGTTATTCCTCTAGAGCCTTATGTCTGGCAGGATAAATTTTCAGTACACATCCAGAATCCTTGTCTATGTTAATAATGCAGATCAATAGGCCTTTTCCACCATGAGTGACAGGAAGATGTGTCTGCAGCTGAAGATTTCCCAAGGAAGAGTTTCAGATAACATGATAAATAATGGCTGGAGTATGATATGTCAGCATAGCAGCCAGGGATTGAGGAGCCATGAGGACCAAACCGCATTCAGCACAGAGGCGGTGAAGGCAAATGCCCACCCGTACTGTCTCCTATCCCTCCTTAGGGGCACAGAATAAGGGAAAGGGACTAAAAGGCTTTGTGAATGCTCTTGCCTCTTTGCTTCTGAGAATCAAAACATACTTGGTGTGTGTCACAAGCAATGACAGTGGTAGGCGATGAGGTTATTGGATGGCAAACCTGGTCATGCAGGTCTAGTGAGATTTTTGCCCTGTGTGCTGCACTGAGGAGGGACAGTGTTTGGGTCCCTGTTGTAGGTACACAAAGCCAGAATGTTGTCTACAAGTGGCACATTTGGGCTCAGTATAATTCTAGAATATGTTTTTCTCTTTGGGATATTTCTGAACTGCAGTCAGCATGCTCCCCACTAGAAAGTGACATGTAGGAGCCACCCTCTGTTGTTGAAAAGTTGATATAATGTGTGTACAATATTATGGTCACCAAAATATGTCTAAACCTAATTGGTTGCATGTGGGATAGATTGCTCTAATATAAAGAACTGAATGCACTGAAGACCTGCCAGAGGTTGCACAAAAAAAAATCAAAGAAAATCAGATGTAAGGCCAAATGTAGCTTTAGCAACTGCTGTTGTAGCACTTCAGTGGAAGGGCTCCCCCAGTGCAGAACTGTAGCTGGGATCTATCAGTGGAGCGTGGAGATGGGCTTTGGCAGGGCCTGCACTCATAGCCATGTCTATCCTCTGGTGGAAACATGGTGGTCTGGGCAGCTGCATGGTTTCGTTTTCCGACAGAGCCAACAATTCAGTGCAAGAGCTCAAAATGTTTCAGTTCTTTGGGAACTAAAAATTTCTCTTGAGAAATTAATGTATTTCATGTCTTAAGCCATTGTCAGAAACTCTACGAAAGTATCCAGAAAAAGGCACCAACCTTCCTGGTAATGCTGCAGCCCTTCAGCTTCAACAAGGACTAACCACTGCAGAGTTTGTACCATCACTTTGTGCCCTATACCACAGCTCCAGTTTCCTCCACAGCAGGAATTCACCGCATTACCAAAAGGAGCCATTGCAGCGCTTGTTCCAACCTAGCCCCCTGGTGAGGAGCCCTCACAGCCTTGCACGGACTCTCACTTACTCCTACAGCCTGCTAAGCTGTAACTGCATGACACAGTCCCACTGTCCTGCTCCATCAGGTGCAGCCCTGTTTAGGGAGCAGACCCAGAGGCTTTCTCTTAGAATATTTCATTAATGTGAGACGTATTTCTAGGGCAAATAAATGCCGTGAACTTCTTTTTTCTATCAGTTAGTTGTGTCATCTGACCCTGTATCATCTCAAGCATGAAAAACAGCTCTGATGGTCAGTGTTGAGAAGCAGTGAGTGTTGCTGAAGATGGAGCAAGGACAGCTTCAGTGAAGAACTGCCATGGAGTGAGAGAAAAGCTTCATCCCAAGCTGAGGGCAGTGCCAAGAGAAACTGCCCAGCTGTGTTACCTGGCCAAGAATTGATACAACACCAGGAAGCACTTCTGAAGCTCAACCTATTCCATGCATTATGCAAGATGGAGCTCATTAAACAACACAGGATGTTGCCATTGGGCACACAGAAGGCAAAGGATCAACTTCCACACTTGGACTTGGCCTCCATTTAAATTCTTCCAGAGAAAGCTATGCTGGTCCATAGCTATTAAAGCTAAAGAAAGGCAGTACAGCTCTAAGCAATGTAGTTATACTGGCAAGGAGCCATGTGTAAACAATCAAATCTCCTTCCTTCTGTTGTGCACCCACCAGCAGAGCAGTGATTGTCATTCAGGAGCACCCCCCAGTTTGGTACCTTCAGGCTCACTGAAGTGTCCCCAGCTGGGGCAAGCAGAGAAGGACTGCACTGGGAAGCTGGAGCAACATAGGGCGCTTTGAGGAGCCTGCCTGTGTCCCTGCCTTGCCAGCAGGCACCATAAGGGCTGGCAGAAAGCAAGTGCAAGGAACAAAGACAGAACTTTGCAAAACATCAGGTTTGATCTGCAACTGATTCCCAATTGCTTTCAATGGCACCTGTGTGAAGGGCTCTGGCCCTGGATGGTGTAGGGCTGGTCTTCCCTCATGAGATCCAGATGAATGAGCTTCTCTTATTACATGTACAAGGAACTCTTGAGATATGCCTAAACACAAGCCCTGTAATTATGGTGCATGTGTTAGCAAATTAGACCAAACTGAGCCAAAGGCCTTACCAAGGTATTGGGTGACGCTGTGCTACATGCTTGCTGGCTGAAGCTGCCCCGTTGGAGAGGACATGAGGGCAGCTGTCTGTCCATGTAGCTTTTATCCCTGCCCATAGCCTAAGGGGATAATGTGCTGATGGACTGGGGGCCCTTGGCCACACCACTAGCTGAATTTATGAGCATATTTAAAGCCTTTTATCTTCTCAAACAGCAGTGTGTTCATACACCTGTACAGCTTTGTCCCTTGGCACTCACTAGCCTGCAGCAACTCACTGAGAGCTGCTGGGCTTCTGGCAGACACAGGGCCTGGTGCTGGCACTCCAAAAATTCCTCTTCAGTTTGTTTTTGTTGTCTTTGCAGAGTGAGCCACCTAAAAGTCACCTTCTGAAGGGCTCTGTGTTAAAACCCACCAAACACTGCATGGCTGAGCGGTGACTCAGAGCGGTGCTTCACTCCCATGAGGACAGCGGAGCTCTGACCCATGCCTGGCTCTGGCTGCATGTTGGGCACACGCTGGTGCCTCCAAAGTACTGAGAGTCCGTGACAAACAGAAGCTGTGAATTAGTCAGACCTTTTTTTAATTAGCATTTCATTAATTAGTACTAATTTAGCAAACGAGTGCCCTGATTAGCTCGGTTAGAGCAGGAACAGAGGGGATGATATGGGATATCAAAGCTCTGACCAGAGCAAAGCCTCAGCCCTGCAGGGACACACAGGGCTCCAGCAGGCACAGCTCCCCTTAACCACATCACCTCCCTGTGCCTACCATCTTTCACCCAGTCAATGTCCCCACTTTCATCACAAACCCTTATTGCAACCGAGCGGTGCCTCACTGACGCTGTCTCTGCTAAAAGTCCAGTTGAACAAAGACATTTCCAGGGGCAGCAGTGGCACTAAGGAAGCAGCAATCGTATCTATTGTCCAATTGCTGCTTTTTTTTGAAGCAGGGATGACTCCTTGACATTAGGCATATGGAGTCTGCCCGTTAATAGTAGTTTAAAGTGGTCAAGAGGTTACGGCAGTAAGGAATGTTAGTAAAAATGTCTCTGTGGAGTTTAAACAACCAGTATTTTAGGCAGGGCTTGGTGGGTTACTGTCCCTGCACAAACAACTAGAATGTGAGAGTCTGGGCTGGGAAATACTTAAACTGTTTGGAAAAACTTGTTTTGTGCAGCTTGAGAGTGTCCCTGGAGGCTGTGGCCCGATGCCATGACTCCTGGTAAAGGCTGGGCTGCTGTAACAATGAAGCTTTTATGGGGAAGCTGGAGTACAATCAGAAACTTTTTAGTCCCAGGGGATTATGGGGAGGGGAGTTCCTGGGTTCAAGATGTCTGGCACATTATGCACATTTCCACCAGGATTTGGGGGTGTTCTATGGCATGCAAGGTATGCAAATTGCTAAATGTGTTTTCAATTTTGCTGTGTTGTGCTGTCTTTGTTGGGTGAGCGTTTTTTCACCAGTGTAGCCTGAAGACAGGATGGGTTCATAGCACGAGTGGAAAAGCGTTGTTGTCTCACAAGCAGTACTGACCTATCAAGAGCTCATTATATTTTCATCCTCCAGCAGGCTCCTAGCTGGGCGGCTCCAGATTATTCACTGGGTAATCTTCCTCCAGTAAGAAGTGTCCTGAACTGAGAGGCGTCTTTGATCAACCACTCCTTACCAAAGTGATCAAAACTGTGCGTAGAAACTGTCTTGTTCCTCATTGCTATTACTTAACCTCGATCATTTGCATGCTCTGTATGGCAGATGTCAGCAAGAGGTCTAGCAACTTGCCAGACTCCACTCAGTCAGCATTACAGTGTCACTTCAGACCTTCTTCGAAGGCATCACAACACCGCTAATTAATTTGAGGGCTTTGTTACAGAAGGGAAGGCATTTCCTTATGGAGAGAGGCTTCTCTTACCAGTGGTGTTTGCAGGAAGGCGCAGGGCAGGATGGTCCTAGCGAAGGAGAAGATAAGGGACTGTTCCTGAGGACAGTTAGCACTGCCACTATGCATCCATGCAGCTATCTGGGAGGTCAAACCCTGATCCCGTGCCTGCTGAAATCAATGACAGGATTTCTGCAGACCGTTGAAGGGACCATCGAGAGGCTGAGGAACAGCTAACAGCCCAGCCTGACACGAACAATTTGTACTGCAGTATCCACATGTGCCACACACTGGGCTGGACAGATCCTGAGCTCTGCGTGGGTGAGGGGAAAGGGCCTCACACGATCAGGGCCTGGTGGTTGAGAGCCTGGTGGTCAGTCTATTTTTCTTAGATGACAAAAACATAGTTACCAAGCTGAGACTGCCCAGAGGTCCTCAGGCTTGGTGGGTTTTATTGCTGGAGCCTCAAGGAAGCAGCCCAGTGTTGAGGGGTCTCCCTGCTTTGTCCCCCATTTTGTGCATCCTCTCCCTTTGCTTGCTGAGGTTTCACCTCAGGCCTGCCTCCAGTTTGGAAACACTGAATAGCTCTTAATGACAGCAGCACAAACAAAACCCTATAAAGACAGGATTTGTGATTTATGTGGGGTTAATTACCACAACAAGTATGTTTATTCAATTCTCTAATAAATCCTAAGGACAGAAACAAGTACTAGCTTGACCAGATTCATCTTGTGCATACATTTCTTCTGTCACCATTTTTGCAAATCTATATGAGCAGGATAGATAAAGAGACGAAATATCTCCCATCATGTAGCCTGTAGCCCATGTATGCTCTTCAGCCTGCCAATGGCATCAGCATTTACTTCAGATCTTCTTGAGGAAAATAGGCTATTTTGTGACTTCTGCAGTCTTTTTTTTTTTTTTTTTTTTAAAGGAAACAAGTGGATCAGAAATGAACATTAACTACAGCAGTGCGATCTATTGCTCTGACACCTACTTGCCACAGGAGGAAGGTAAGGTCTCCGTTTGTCTCTGCTAAAGGAATGTGATATTTCTAACATGAGGTTAGAAGGCTGCAGTGACAGGAGCTGAGGCATGCCCAGGTCCTGCGGTGAGAAGCTGTGCTTCAGTGAGGGCACTCCATAGCCCATCACTCCTCACTAACAAAATGACTTGGTTCCATCAATCTGATTTACAGGAGAGGGAACTGATGTGGAGAAATGAGCAGTGCCATTGGGAGCGTGTGTTTTTAAGTCATAGATCACCGGGTGACTTCATGTAGACCAATGTTACTCAATACTGTCCCATTTGATTGTGTTCTGAGATACGTAGGTTGCAAGGTTTTCTTGAACTGCTGATTCTGCTTTAGCCATCTTCCATGTTGACAGTGTCCGTGTCTGTGTTGGGCTCACTGCAGTCCCTGATTTGCTAGAGAAGTAGTTGCCATGGCTCAGCGCTGTGCCAGACGGGGCCCCCGCCGCTCTGAGGAATTTGTGTCAGATAGAACATTTCGTACAATGCAGAAGGTTCTGTCACCTTGATTCGAAGGAAGTTGTTTGTGTTAATGCTTAAAGGTAACGTGAGACAAGGCGAGCTCTTTACTTTGGAACACGCGCTGAGCCATTGATGTACGCAGTACAGTAAATATAACAAAGAGCGCACTGTGGTATTTACACCCACCGCAAACACGTTTGCAAAATAGGATTATTTACAATCCAATGAAATAGTACTGCTTTTAAGGCAGAAACCCTGTGTGTTCAGTGAAGTGTCCTCCTCAGCTTTTCTTGCCGTTTATCGACCCAACACATTCCTCCCCATTTTTTTTTTTTAATGTCTTCCATTAATAGTTAAGAAAAACCTAGGGAAAACAAACACTCTTTTCCTGATTGTTTATTCACCAGTCTCTTAGGAACCATAATTACGTCTCCCAGGAATTGTGTGTTTTATCATACTGTATATCTTAAAGAGCCACTTTAGGTAAAATAACAAGGAGTGCCTTATGAAGGAAAATTGGATTCGTTTTAAGACTTTTTTAACCCTCCAAAGAATGGCTCTTTGTTTACTTCTTTAGTGCATGTGGCAACTTGCCCAAGTAAATACTATGCTGCATAAATACCAGAGATTGGTATTTATGATATTACATAAACATACTCTGAATAATGACTCATTGTTGCGATGAAGACGAACGCAAGCAATATACATCACAGTCAGTGCGTTATTTCTTGTCACTTTATTAAGTGACACTGAGCATTGTAGGACAAAATGACAGTGAGTGGAGAGGAGAAGTCTGATTGCATTATTTACCAGATCCGAGTTTACAAAACAAAAGAGAAAACAGCCAAAACAGGAAGGTTATGAGGATAACATAGCTGATTAATTATCAATATGCAGGATAAGTAGTTAGGTGCATGCTGGGGTTGACTGGAAAAAGATTTATTGCTCTTTGAATTGAAAACTCATGCAGTGCGTTTATTCCACTGTCCCAACAGGCAGCTGAGCCCTCAGGTTCATCATCCTACCTGTGGTGACGCTCATGTCCACTTGTGACAATAGTTACTTCCCTTATGGAGCCGCTCTTTTGGTGGCTTTGTTTCTCAGAGCCTCAGTCTGTCCAGTTAGAGTTTTGTTACACCTTTACTGCACTCCAGAAAAATCATGTCAGGGTTTGTGTGAAGGGAAAATGTGGCACACTTTGCGGTGCTGCCAAGTGATGGAACTCAGATCTGAGAAATCAAAATCCCAAAGGGAAGGTGCATATGCCAAAACCTCTATTTAAAGCCAGCAGGGTGTTACCAACTTATTTATTTTTAAAGCCCATGGTTATAGCCTATATGCTGCTGTCCAAACAGCGAAAACAATGGACACTCAAATTCTCAAAGGATCACTGAACCATCCCTTTAAAAATGATGATGAAAATTATCACCCATAGTAATGGACTAGCCTGAAAAATGTGATTTTTTGGAAATTTTGCTCTTTCCCTGAAGCAGCCCTTCAGAAACAGCAGAGAAATCTTCACAGTGGGAGGGTGATCCTCATAATACGTGGAGGAGTGGGATGCTCAGCTGTGGGAGCACTCTCCTCCATGACTGCAGGCCTGCACGCTGTGGTTGAGGTGAGGCTTTTGGTGTTTGATGGGGTCTATCACCAGCAGAAGAAATTTGTTCCTAGGTGTGAATAAAGGAGTACCTATATTTTCCTAAGTGAACATCTTTCACGCTTGTGTGCTCAAGAAGATAGCAGTGGATGGGGCCAACCTCTGCAAAGCACCTGGGCTTATGGAAACCTCTGCTTTACTGCATGGTCAGCAGCTGTTTATTGTGGTTATTAAACTGTGCCTTTTTCCTTCGATTTTAACAATTTCCTTCCTGGTTTTACTTCTTTAGTCAAAACCCACTCTGTGTAAGGAGAACTGTGTTTTGATGTACTCGGGTGCCATGTGCTGTTCCATCCCATGTGCAAGGTTGAACTGAACAAATGCTGACTTTTCTCCCTTGTGCTTCACATACTTTGTACAGGTTAGGAGGGAACACAGGGGACAGGAGAACAGAAGTCTGCTGGTCTGCAAAGACCAACGATGTCACCTGGTCCAGAATAAAGCAAGCTCAGCTAGCTCTACCAGCAAGCTTAGGAATGACAGTGATGATCTGTGTGCCATCCTGGATAACACAAAATTTGTGCCTAAAACCCTAATAGACAACACCTCAAAAGACTGCATGTCCAAGTAGAAAGGAGCGAGATACCTCCCACGTATGTCCTTATTTTCCCAGAAGAAAACAGAGTTGTAATGTATATTAGCAAAGTTGAGAGGACAGGAACTGCGGTCACACATCAAATTCAGCCACAATTCTATTTCTTCTTCATACTATTATTAAATCACACTGCCCAAAGCCTCCACATCTGTTGTGCTTGGTGCTCTTCAAACACAGGATATCATGCTTAGGCATCACTCCTTTATTTGGATTTGAAGCCATGCCTCACCGCTGTTTGTGTCAAAACAGTTACCTGTGCCAGGCAGCCTTAATCTGTATTCTTTCCTCACATTGTCTGGGGTCTGCTGCTCTGTCTTTCTGGGAGCCTGCAATATAAGATGACAAATTCTGGACAGCACTGAGGCCAGATAACATGCAAGCCCCATCCCAGCCCCACAGAAGTCAGTGGGAAAGCTAGATGGACAGCTGTGGTTTTGACTCAGGCCCAGAGATACTGGAAAATAACAAAGGGGACAGAAGGAAAGAGCTTGGTCAGCTTTCAGGGTTATTCCTCATTTCTTTTAAAAAGAATAAATACATGTTTTTTGTTATGACTTTCTCAGAATAAGCTTGGTGCTGTCAGCTAGCCATGTCTCAGCAATGTGCTTGCATGATGAAGGCAAAGCAATTCTGAGCTTACAGGCTTAACATCCTTTTTCGGTACAGTTCATTGCAAAGAAACCTGAGTAATGCATCTTCCCTCTGAAATGCTTGTCTGCTTTGCATAGAGAGCATTCACACACTTTGCATAAGCCTGAGGATCACACTGACAAAGAATGATAGCACTGCTTAAGTAGTTAATTTGGTTATTTATTCATTTAAGTGTATGTGAATCAAGACATTTTTTCTGTGATCTGAAGTGACTGCCAAACCTCTGATTAGTTTGTAGCTTTTACTGTGTCGTTCCATTCTTTTGTTACATAGGATGGATGCAGACTTAATTCCACTGGCAAACACTTTGAAAAGGGCAGCCTCTGTAACACCTCCCAAAGAAGAAAAGACAGAGACAGACTGCATGTCATTCCTTCATTCCTGCCTGCCCATGTCAGCACTCACCGTGTCTAGAGAAATGCACAAGTAACACACTTCTAGGCAAAATGCATTTATGTGAGCACTTGTTCTTCTGTGCAGAACAAAGTACATCTGCCCTGCAGCTATCCTGAGGGGTAAGAATGGCTCAGAGTAAGGATTATATATTCCACTGTTAATATTTGTCAAATGTTGTAAGATTCTCAAGTTAAAGTGATGTATGGACCACACCCACAAATGAATTATGTTGAGATGCACATCTATAGATCTATGCAGACAGAAAAAAAAATGCAGATTGACCTCACTGAACTTTGTACAGTTCTGGACTGATGTTAAACTTTGTTAAACTTCAAAATCTTGTTTTAATTCTTCAGGTCAATGGCCCAGCAGCGAGGCATGCTGTGCCAGCACCAGAGAGTCACCAGAGGAGCTGTGAACTGCCCCAGAAAGAAAGCGGTGGTGCAAGGTACCCTGTTGGTAAGGAGATGGCACTCAGGCTGGGAAGCATGCATGTTTGAAACTTGGCCCAAATATGCTCCTTTACCTGAACACATGGGAACTACATCCTTCTCGTCCTCTGTTTCAGGAGTTGAAAAGCAGGAGCGTCCCCTGTCCTGCCATCCTCTGCCTGGGGGCAAAGGAGGGCTGAGGAGACACTGGTCAGCATTCAGGTTTTGTACATGGCTTCATGCAGTACAAACACGTCCATGTTCATTTCTACCCTGTTCAAGCTGGTGTCTCCATCCCACAGTGCGGGGCCCTCCTTGATCCCCGCAGGCTGCTGGGTTCAGTTACATCTCTGCAGTCTCTTTTCTCTTTGTCACATCCTTTACTTTCAGCCAAGTATCTACCTGCATGTAGGGTCAAGGGGTCTTAGAATACGGGTGAAAGCAAAATGAACAAGATAGGTTCCATGAGGAAGGACAGGCTGGTAACCATGTTGTCTGTTTGTAAATAGACAGCTTTTCTTGGCATTGCTTCTAACTGCTGGGTAATGGTAGGGTTGTGCTCTTGAATTTCTACATAGAAATAAGGTAAAAAATACTACTTTTTCACCTGATGCTGTGCACCTGATGCAGATGTCTGTGAAGTTACCTCTGTGTTTTAGCACAAGACCAGATTAAGCTATGTGGTTTTATACCTTTATACTCCATAGAAGCTTCTGTTGCTCTGCACCACTCAGGACTTGGCCAGTCCCTATGCTGCAGCTCATCTGTCCAACTTCAATCCTTGGTTAGCAACTTCATAGAGAGGATCTGAAGAAAAGCTCAGTGGAAAAGGTGCTCATAATCTCCATAAGAGATTCTGTCACAGTTGGATAATAAAATACAAAACTGGCCAGGATTCCCCCATTGTAATGTACAGGTGTTAGTGGTGAAAGTACCAGCTCCTCCAAGCTTTCAGCTGCACTCAGTAGTTAGGTGCTGCGTCATGCAGTGCCGCATTGTATCAGTGGATCTAGAGATAACATATTCAGTGTTTGTGTGTATCCCACAGAGCATTTCTGTAAGGTAAGAGTTTGTCTTAGGAAAAAACAAAAGATGCCAGTGGACTTGTCAGATATCTCTGAGTGAATCACCATCACTTATGCTCACTGGAGGTGACTGATCATTTTCTTCTCTGCAAATGCTTTAAATTCAGTCTGTGGTGTGAAGAAAAGAGAATGTTTTTTCATTCATTTGCATCAATGTGCTAATGCAGGTTTTGCAATCGGATTTTATCTGTCAAGATGATTAATTGTATTGCTGCATGAGAGCAAGGGGAACTCAGGTCCATCTCCTGTCACTGTGTTTGAATCTCCACGTAGTAAAAACTTTTTTAGAATTTTTTAATCTTGGCTTTTGTCAAGCATGCAGTTTTGTCTTGAAACTAGATCTGTTGATTGAATTCCATTTATCAGCCACTTTATTTTTATAAGAAAACTGAGATCAGCTTCACAGATTATAAGAGCCAGAGTCGTGTAAGGGACTGGAAGTGCGATAGCCGTTCTCCTACAGCCACAAGCATCCAGCTGCTATTATTTATGCACCATCGACAGTGGGACATGCTCAGACTTGAAGGACTGGTGCTGACCTTCCCTTGCTAATCATTTATACATTCCTTGTTTTGAGCGCTCCACCTTAAGGTTTCTCATGACTCACTTTCTCTCTGGAGTGAACAAATAAATCCTGAAGGACTCTGCATGCTTCCAAGTGTGTAACCTGTCCCCTTCTACTGGTCCTGTTTTCAGCAACAAAAGCTCTTGAAGTAGCAGTGCTATTTATTAAGGTGTGATCTCAGAGCCGTAGGACTTTGAGAGCTGAGAGAATGGTGGCTTCAGCTTGGCTTAGGCTTATCCTAAAATACCAATCCATGGCTTTTGTGCGTGCCATGAGTGAGGAATAAAACTCCTCTGCAGTCTCTGGAGGCAGGAAAATTGGGCAGAGAATCATAGAATAGCTGGAATTGGAAGCATGTACAGTTCTCTCTCCAAAAAGGGGAGCAGCAATTCATGTCGTCTTCAGGAACTTCTGTATGGCTTTAGACACGGCCCACATAATGTCCTTGTCTCTGTATTGGAGACAGGGGTTTGAATGGACTGTTTCATGGAAAAGGAATTGAGTGGATGGCCACATCCAGGGAGCTGTGGTCAGTGGCTCAGTGTCCAGGAGATCTGTGATGAATTATGTGCCTCAGGAGACATAGCTGTTAGAGCAGGTCCAAAGGAGGGACACAGAAATGAGAAGAGGGCTGGAGCCTTTCGCTTTCAGATATCCTTTAATTGAAGGGAATGGCAAATTGAGGCCTATTTCTGGGTTGTTCAGAACAAAAGACTTGATACTGGACATTCAAATGCTGATGGTGCTGCTGATAATCCTTGTTGTTCTCTCTGTATTGATGGGTCCATCTGGGAGGCAGGTTTGACATTACCCCCTTTACTTTGCACTGCTTCTGTAAGTGGTAACTGTACTTAAGCAGCAATTGTAGTTGCATTTAAGTTGCAAATAGTATGACTGTATTATGGAATATAGGAATAATGAAAAAACACCGAGATTGTCACTAATTAGATGTGCAGTTCATGAGCAGAGTGTTGAGCTTTGAGGAGCAGGCAGGGCTGAGAAAGCAATAAGAGGGTACAAGAAAATACCACTTTCTCTTTGTCCCTCCCTTGTGTACCTCTTCCCTAAGAGGAGCTGCAGGGCAGTGGAGTGGGTGAGAAGGACATCCCAGCTGGAAGATCTGCTGAGAGCTTTGAGGAGCTTGTCTGTGGGGTCAGGGTTGGCTTGGCCATGGGGTCAGAGGTGGAGGGGAGGGAGGAACATGCTTTGGCTTATGTTCCAGATTGTGGGGCTGGATTAGGTGCACGCACTTGGGATGGGCTAATGAGAATGAAGTCATGTCAGACTGTCATTGTGAAGGAGAGAGGCTTGATCTGCTGTGCCATGAGTGCTGCTCCCCTCATGGTACATGGGCACATCTGACAGGACGGAGCTTACCACAGCACTCACAGGGGAGCGATGTTAGGCACTATGGGTTGGTCCAGCATGAGTAACTCAAACTGCAGGGGTGTGATGCAGAGAAGGATGTGGTTCTTTTAATTCCTTCCCCTTGTCCCATTGTTTCCTTCCCAGGCGCACGCAAAATCTTCCTCTGCCTCTCCCTCCCAGCCCAGCTTTTCTCTTCTCTTTGGTTGTCCTTTTGTCCTTTCCCTCCTGTAGAGCCAAGCTCAACAGCGTATACCCACACCCAACAGAAAGGAACTTCTTTTGGCAATTTCTCCATATCTGGGACCCATATGTCAAGCAAAACAATTGTAAATGGGCTTAGTTGGCATTCCTTTGGCACGGGATAGCAGAAAGCACGAGCAGGAGTGGGTTCTTCAGAAAAGCTTGGATTTCACAGCTGTGCCCATGAGCGGTGCTGGGGGATTGTATGACCTCAGAGAGCCTGGTCCCACTGCAGTGGGAGCCCAGGTCCTGACTCCTTCACTGCAGACAGGAGGTTGCGAAGGTCGGGCTGTGAGCAAACAGGTGCCTCCTGTGCCCGGGACGTGGAGGACATGACCTGCCCTGCCATTAGCTGTTAAGTCATGCTCCCCCTGGCTTCAGAGGATGCGTTACGTCTGTGTGAAGCACCACACAAGGTCAGTGTTAGATTGCCTCACATCACCAAAACACAAATTCATGTATTTGTCCTAAAGCGAGGCTGGTGCAACAGGACAAAATGGAATAATGTAACAGCTGGGAGCCAGGGTGTGCTGCAAGGTCAGAGGAGAAATACCCCAGCAGCCCTATGGGAAAGCAATGGTGAACTCTACTGCCAGATTAATCAGGCTTTTTTTTTTTTTGCCACAGTCACAATGTCAAAGCTTTTCTCTGCACGCTGAAGATGCCATGTCTGACACTGGGAGCTGCAGTGCGGTGAAGCTACATCTTTTAATGGAAGTTCCCAGGCTGTGTGCCAGGACACTGCAAACAGACACATTTATGGTCTTTCAGGTACAAACACGAGTGATTTGTGATCAAGAGAAGGATGTGGTTCTTTCCACTCCTTCACTCCATCTCCTTCTAAGCCATCCAAAGCACACATGGCTCTGTGATACAACCTTCCCTGGGCTGGTAAACAATATTGCTATTGTAAATTACTTCAGTATCTTCGTGAAAAATTAGTACAATCCCCACAAGTACAGACTATTAAAATACTCTGTAAATTACTTGTTGAGTTACTCCAGTGAAGCCAGACAAGTCCAGCAGCTGTAGGGCTTATCTCACATCTCTGCTGCTTAACCTGTGCTCTTTTGTCACTGACTCCAATGTATAACTTTGTTAACATTGAACAGCTTGTGAATTGGAAAAAATTCCTCTAGGAATTTGAAATTTGTATTTCCTTAGCGATCCGTAATAGACAGTGCTCACACTGAGAAGGGACCTGATGGTCAGTGCATATAGCGTGCTGAAAAAGTGCATCTCTGCAGGCAGCTGTAGGCAGCCCTGAACTTGCTTTGCCCACACTGTGCAATGTTTAGGCCACTGCTGGCCCCACGGCTGCGCTCTGCCATCTGCAGAGTGATTTTTTCAGAAACCTCCTTGGGTTTGACAGTGAGGAACATGGCTGCTCTGTGGTCTTGTGGTGCACGACAGTACGACTGTGTTCGGATGTACAAAGCCAGCTGCCATCTGTGTTGCAATGTTAAGAAAAGTTGAAGGCTTACTATGTCCAGCAACAGCCCCAAGGTGTGCAGGAGCAGGTGTGCTGGATGTGGTGTCTGTGACGAAGCAGCAGCTATGGCCTCACACTGCTGCTTTCTGTCAACCTGCTCAGAAAGAAGGATTTGTGGCGTTGTTGTTCTCGTGCGTCACGGCATTATTTCTCTGAGACCATAAGCAGCGGGACTGCTTGCCATCTCAGGCTGGGTATTGCCTGATGTTTTCCTCCTAACAATAATATAAAGCCTTTGTGCATCAGTGAGAGAGGGTGAGAGATGCAGGAACTGCTGCCTATGCAGTGTTATTTACGGAGACCAGTGCTGGACTATTTCTCCTCCTCCTTCACCTCCTCCACTCAAGGGCATTCAGATGCTTTGTAGACAAAATGTGTGGGGAGCAGTAATATTTGTACTAGGCCAACTGATAAACAAACATATTTTGGGAGCCGTTCCCAGGGCCATGCAGCAGTTCTGTGAGATGGAGGAAGTCCTGGTGCAGGACTCCTGGGCTTTACCAAAAGTCCAGAAACCACTGTTTCTCCTCTCGTGGCCAGTCCTGTCTCAGCAATATTTTGATTGCTCTCCTATAAAAACTTTTTTTTTCCCTCTGGGCTGTTAATGTTACCACACAGATATTTTCTATCAACCTACTCCAGAAAATTTAAGTTATTCTGAAAAGGGAATTAAGTAAGGAAGATTTACTGCAGTTTAAAAAAGCCAGCGCTTGCAAGACATGTCCCCCAAGGAATGCTCTGTGATCCAGAGGATCATTTCATACCATTGCACTGGCAGTACTTCATTGGTCAAAGCCTTTCCGTGTTTCTTCCTGGGATATTAACACGAATTTATTTATCAGTTAAAACATCCAGCAAGATGAAACTTGTTTCCACAAGTGGTTTGATCGGAGTAGCATCGAGTTAGTTTCCATTTTTAGTGGCATTTTTTGCAGCACTGATTATCAAGTAGTTATTGGTTTCATCCCCTTCTCAATAACCGGGGCGAAATTTGGAAGCATTTAACACCAATACTTGCAGAACAAGAGCAGGATGGCCCGTTCCCCATGTGGGATTTGTTCTACATTTGCTGCCTTGCTGGGTGTTCTCACCTGGCTGTCTGTGCTGCTGTCTCCCTGACTTTGTATTGTAACTTAAAGGGGATTAGAGATGGCTGCAAGGTGTCTCCACCTTTACCATCTAAAGCTGTGTTAATAGAGGTAAACGGTACTTCGATTTCTGATTCTCTCAACAGAAGGGCCACTTGCCTTTATGATGGCTGGCACTTAATCACAAACCAAGGCACTTCCAGTCTGGTATTCATCTCTGGGCTCTGCAGCAAGAGCCATGGCTGTGCTGGGCAGGGGCTGCTTGGTGGTGCCAAGCCGAAGGAGAGCCCCGTCACCATCACCTGTCACCAGCTGTGAACACAGGTGGGACCAGGCCTGCTCCATGGGCCCAACAGAGAGGAGTGAGCTTTGTGCAGGCACACACACATCAGATGCCCTTCCTGGCAGGGGTGGGTCCCTGTAACCTCAGCGGGTGTCACAGGGCATGATGAAGCTTTAGTGGCATTTTAGAAATACGGGATTCAAGTTACCTGTTCTCCCAAGCTTACTGCCTGCCACTAACAGGCAGTCTCCTCCAGCACTGCCACAGATGCACAGAGCACTGACCTCGCTCACACATGGCACTGTCACAGCACCCAGAGCTCTCCCATGCAATGAGCAGTCCTCCTCTGCCCACGCTCGCACTGAAGTCACAAAGCAAGGTGAGCCCGCTGCCATGCCAAGGGACATTTTTGCTTCTCAGCAACCTGCTGTGGCAGCAGCTGCGCTAGCTGCAAAGGACACTTTTCCCTGTTATAGGTTTCTTTCCCTTCCTGGATGTGCCACACAGGCATATCCATGTCCTCTGTCCCCTTGGTGGTGGACCTGTGCAGGATGCTCTGAGCCAACCCCAAGTTTTCAGCCACTGCCAAAGCATCCCACAGAAGCAGGCATCACCTCACTGCCTGCCGTGGCCGCTGAGCGATGCCTGGCAGAGGTGACTCAGAAGCGGGGAGCCCTGCTAAGGCCCTGGCACATCCCTGCACTGAAACACTGCCTACAGCCTCCTGCCTCTGCCCAGCTCGCCCTTCCTGCCACCTTTCCCCCGGGGTCCTAACTCCCAACTTTGTTGCTCTATAAACATAATAACAATAATTATTCTCTCATTGGACACATAGCCATCTTCTTTGTTTGCAGGCTTAGATAAATATCATTCAAATCATGGAGTCTGATTCATGAGTCAGGATGATGGCAGCCCTCCAAAACCTCCTTGCCCATGGAGAGTGTGTTTGTGTGAGAGAGATAGAGAGTTTCACTGTACGAAGAGTAAGAAACTGGAAGCCAAGTGAATTAAATACAAAGCAGATAATTATGTGTAATTCATTTACTGACTAATGATTGCACCTGGTACAGAGGTCTATGAATTCATTTCACTCTGCATTTGTTCTCAAAAACAATCTCTCTGCACAAGATAAAAACTAGGCCTGTGTTTACATTGGTGTTATTGTAAGATTCTGTCTCTCTGGTTCATTCCCCAGTTTTTCTCACGATGTTTCACTTTTCCTGAGTTCACCTGGTGTCTCCTTGGCAATGACAACTGTGCAGGTAGGGGCTGGGTGCCATTTTGCCTACAGCAGAATGCAGCCTTCGCTTCTCTCCTGGAGGCTGTGTGGTGTGATTACACGCAGGGCTTATCTCTCATCTGCTGCAGCCAAATTTTGCCACCAAGGCTGTGCCTGCAATGGGGAGCAGCAGGTCATGGCCTCCCTCCCCCCTCTGCTGAGATGGCCAGCAACTTGCTGCTTTTTACATGGTGTCACCCAGCTGCCCCTGCAGCCTGGCACCATCAGCTCCCTCCAGCTGAACAGCAGCAGGCGCTGTCAGCCTTCACCTGCTGTCACCGGGGTTGAAGACCCCAAAGGCACCTTCGGCAGGGTGAAAAAGCTCATGCCTAATCCGTGGTGGCCAGCAGTGCCGATGTCACACTGAGGACTGCAGTCTGTGTGACAACGCTTGCACTGTGAGTTTGGGAGCTGAGCTCTGAGCCAGGCTGGGCCCAAGGCTTTGCTGGGTGTGGGCAGCAGCAGGGACACTCCTGAGGTGATGCTCTTACCATGTGGTGGAAACAGAAGACCTTTTCCAGCTGTCTCCCATGGGCAGTCATAAGGCATCCAGCAAAGCCCCTTCTCCCAGTCCCTCCATGTATCAAAGGCGCCTACCTTACTCATCCCTCACCCTGCAAATAAATCTACACACTCAGTTCATTGCTCAGGTCCTCTGTGATGGCTGATGCTCAAAGCAAGAACTGCTGCTTCCTGCTGAGTGTGCCAGCACCATCACACAGCTGGGCTCAGTCCAGTAATCGATCCATTAACGGGGTGCAGGAGAGGTAAGTGCACAGCATTCATGCAAGTGGGAGAGGGCTACATCTGCAGGCACTGGCTGAGAGCAGATTTCTGTGGGATGTCCTTTAAGAACAACTCTGGGAAAGGAACCAACTGGAATGACATAAGGAAGAGGGAAGTTACTTGGCAGTTTGAATAGAGGCTGGTTAGTAAATCGTGACATGCTCACAATGAAAGAACGTGCTGAGTTCACCTACATATGCTTTCCAGTATTATTTCCACTGAGTCTTTACTGAAGCGTAATAGTGAAGCTGAGCTGGTGGCTGCCAACGAAACAGCTGTAGCAGCAGATCTAACCACCAATGCTGCACAAACACAGTGGGAGGTGTCTCCCTGCAGCCACCGCCAGCGCTGCGCCGTGCCAGGAGAGCATCACTGCCGCCCGGCTCCTCCGCTCCCAGCGCAGCACTGCCCTACACCCTGCAGCCCTCCTGGGGAAGTGGCGAAAAGCAGTGGAGGTGCTGCTCTCTCCATCCGTGGCAGCCACAGGTAATGAAAGCATCAGCAATTAAAAAAAAAGAGTAACCCTATGCTCCAGTATTGGAGTGATTTGTCATTAGAAAAGCCAAAACCAGCTCACCTTGTTCACGAGTGCTCCCACTGACTAAAGCGGCAGTCAGCGTGTGCTTTGGTTTTCAACCCATGCAATCCTTTTCCGATGAAGACCTGACAAGCCAGGACAGATTGCAGTCCGTGAGATACTCGTGGAGTGATCATACTTTACCTGTAGGTGGATCCTCTTTTTAGATAGCGTGAAGCAGAGCCAGTGAGCTGATTCACTGCTGTACTCCAATTTTCACCAGAATAACACCACTGAATCATCATCAAATAACAAATGATAAAATGAGATCGCTGTGTTTAAGTCTGCAGCATGTGTACGGAAATGACTAGTTTTCTTGCAGAACGATTACACTGCATGGACACTTTCTGTGTGCTGTTTCCCAAACGTATCACAAAGGTGACAATATAACATTTATGCAGCAGTTCTACATATCAGAAAAACCCCACCAATTAACGTCAAAAGTAACAGCTGGTGGAAAAATGTCACCATACCTAATGTGTTCTCTTTATTATCATTCAAAAGAAAAAGGAGGATGAGGTGAACTTCAGCTTCTGAAAAGACTCCATTTTGTGGTTCATGTATTTTTGCACACCAGCTAAAGGTCAGAAACTGCTAAGTTAAAAACATAATCCTGGTTTCTCTTCTGTTTATGAAAATATTTGCTGAACAATTGAAAAGAACTGTGTAACTGTGATATTTTTGCAAGTAATGCTCTTGAAAAGCAACTAAAGACAACAGGCAAGCTTGCAATTAGTAATTCTAATTATAAAGTGTATATAGAAAACAATGTAGCATCATAAGTAAAGGCCAAGTTCAAATGATGCAATAGGAGTAGCAGAACACCATGTAACAATGGGCAAAGCATCCAGCAAGAGGAATACTTCTAAATGAGCTATAGTTTTGCCGTCAAAGCAACAACAACAACAACAACAAAAAAAGAGAGAAAATAATAGCACAGCACTATATTCTATGTAACTTCTATGGCAATTCATTCTCAGTGCCACCTGATACTCGTGCTTCTGTTGTAGCCCACAGTCATCCCTGGAAGACACAGCCACAGAGTAAGACCTAGTAATGAGCGATTATTGCAGACTGGGGGAGGGGGAAAGAAGGGGGGAAGGGGGGAAGCTCCCCTGTGTTGTTTATCCAGGAACCACTCTGTGCCTCACTCCCACTTCCATCACTCAGCAGCTATCAAATAATGCTGCCTGTGATGCTGTACTTCCTACAGGCGAGCCACATTTCTGTCACGTACAGGTTAACAGGTGTTTGAAAACAGGAAAAACTTAAGTATGATGCAGGGGTCTGTGCTGCATAGCCTGCGGTGCGTGTATGTGTGCCCCCTAAACTCCACCAGTTTCTGACAGCACTTCATGTACTGCATGGGAACTGCAAACCCTCAGCATTAGGGAAGGCCCTCTGCTCTGCACCAGTGCGTGCAGCAGCAGCAGCACAGGGTTACGTGCTGCGCCAAAGAACTGCTCTCAGAATTAAGTCCTGGTGCAACCAGAGAAGGTGAAGAGACATAATACCTTAGGGAAATGGTTTTATTTATTCTGCCTGGATGCATATATTGCAATCATCCATGTAGCATGATCCACAATGCTGAAAACCATTTCATTATGTTCTATAAGTAAGAGCCTGATGTGGTTCAATTGTATCAATTATGCAACTCTTCTAAGTGGTGTAGTCAAGGGTAAATGCAGGCAAAGGGCACTCCCTTTGTACCTGCTTCTACTCTGGGCACTTCTAATATTTACCTGCTCCTCATATACCACAGACAGATCTATCTGCCCACTTCTATTTACTGCTGTATCACCGACTGCTCTTTGGTCAAGAGCTTTTCCTATGCACCGATGACACAATGAAATAGAAAATGGAAGTCAAGACACTGCTATGTGTTTGTCTGTTGTGCAAGATCTAAGTGTGGCTGTAATTTTGAGCAAAGCATCGCTTTTAAACAATGTTTAAACTGACACTATTATTATGCAATATAATTAATTATAGCTAGAAGGGCATTTGAGGTTATTTGGCACTACCTTTGTCCATTTCATAATTATACCAAGAGAATGACTAAGTTGTGCCCAGCTTAATTGTATTCATTTGGTTTTATCCCTCCTCTCTGCCATCCTAAGTCACTTGTATTCTGATCTGAGAGTTTTTTGGAGAAGTTTGGATGTGTTTGTGCCAAATACAATGGAGCCCAGGCTAGCTAGGCAGCCTCAGGTGATATTGCAATTTAAGCACTAACAATAGCAATAATAATTACCACTAGACAAAGTGATAAGTACAAAACAAACGTCACTTTTTTCAGTCACTGTTACCGTTACCGACAGAAGATTTACCCTTATCTGCTCCTGCTCTGTGCATTCTAGGACATGTTTGTGTAGCCAAAAGATAAAGCTTCGTGGCACGATGTGACATCTTTCAGATGTACTGGGAGCCCAGCAGACACCTCCAGAGAGCAGCTGAAGAGCAGCAGCAGATGGCTGCAGCAGCATGCAACGCACCAGCCCCATTGCCCTATGCAGCATGGGGGTTCAGTGTTCAAGGGATGCAAAGTGCAGCTCAGAAGCCTGGGCGGATGGCGCTGGGTGCTGCAGCGCAGACACAGCACTGTGCAACCTCTGTGCCCCAGGACCTGCAGTTTGCTGCTGGTGTTAGGGCTGCGGTGAGGACGGCAGCTCACGCAGCCTCTGGAGCCAGGCTGGCTGCCCAGCAGCCCAGCCACAGATTTCGTGCCATATTGGAGCTCAGCAGCTGCCCCAAGCTGGCAGGCTGTGTGCCAGCCAGACGAGCTGCCCAGAGGTAGCGGTGAGTAAAGCATCTCTTCTGAATGTTACTTGACAGTGTCCAACCAACAAAAACAAAAATTAAAATTAAAAAAAAAACACAACAGTGATAAAAGTGACTTCCTCAGAAAGGAATCAGCTTAAGAAATGGTCTTACCTTAAGAAAAAGCTCACTTGGGCTTTCCAGAAGGGAGCTCGCAAGCAGGAGGGGGATTGACATTTTAGGCGGTCTGACAGACAGGGCAAAGGAGAACAGCTTTAATCTAAAAGAGGGGAGATTTAGGTTAGATGTTAGGAAGAAAATCTTTACTCAGGTGTGGGGGGTAGAGTGGCGAGGCCAGCCTCTTTTCAGCAGTGTGTGGAGACAGGACAAAGGGAAACGGCCAGAAAGTGCAGCATAGGAAGTTCTGCACAAACGTGCACAAGAACTTCTTTACAGTGAGGCGATGGAGCACTGAGACAGGCTGCCCAGGGAGGTGGTGGAGTCTCCTCTGGAGATGTTCAAGACCTGCCTGGACGCCTACCTGTGTGACCTGGTGTAGGGAACCTGCTTTGGCAGGAGGGTTGGACTCGATGATCTCTGGAGGTCCCTTCCAACCCCTACGATTCTGTGGCACTGGCACAGGCTGCCTGGAGAAGCTGTGCATGTGCCATCACTGGAGACATTCAAGGCCAGGTTGGATGGGGCCCTGAGCAGCCTGATCTGATGGGTGCAGTTCTGCCCATGCCAACTGGGCTGGGACTTTAAGGTCTCCTCTGACCTAAGCCATCCTATGATTCTATGACTATTTGGCGACAATGAAAGGCTGTTACAGTCTTCAGCTGGTGGCTGGATACTGGATTGCACTTGTACGATAGAACTGCCTGCAAGGGCTGAATGCCATAATTAACAGGCATTTTTTAGAAATTATTGGTTAATGCCATGTAATAGAAATACTGCCAACTGTTGCTGATAAAACTTCGCTTGTTCCTTTGGTGGTAATGCATAATGACTCAACACTGCTTCAGTGGGAAGATACCTTTGTCTGTTACATATCGCTACGTTCATTTTTACAACGGTTTATATGGCAAATAATACAAATTCTGAAACTTAAAATAACTAGAGTGCCAGCTGCGTCCTGAGCAATCACAGCACTGGTAACACAAGGCCTTTTTATCATATAGCATTAATGATCCAGTCCCCCTCCCACAGCAAGCAGTGTGGCCTTTATCATCAAGGCTGTTTAAGCAGGACTAAGCTTAAACGGTTCTATAACAGGGAAACACGCTAATGTAAGTTTCACGTCCATCTGATACATTTCTCATGCAAGTTGTACATGACCACCCAGTGCACCTCTGCACATTTTTAGTAACAAAAAATCTATGAGCCATACTGGGGAATCCAGGTTGTGCTGAGATAATGGGCTCTACTCATATGATGCAGCTGTCTTATCACCAAAGAACATTTTCACAATATTGCAATAGTGACCGAAAGGTTATTTCTCAAACCTTGTCTGTCACCCAGCAGGTACCAGCTGAAAAGTTTCTGTTTGATTGCTAAAGAGTAGAAAGCAATGAGCACACATTGGCAAATCTTAGATCAGGCATGATGTGGATGTTGCACATTTCAGACTAACGCCCACCTTCACTTCAGGGAAAGGAGAAACCAGACCTGCAGACACACTAATCGCTCCTGCTCTCAGAGTTCCCACTCACCTGTTTGGAAATGAACAGCAGAACCTTGCTGCTTTCTATTTACTGCACTGAGAGCCAGTGATCTCAGTACTTCCAGTCATCAATTACATGCCTGTGATATTACAGCATTTTATGATGCAAAATCCTCCTAATGTACAAATCAAAAAAATATATGTAAGTCTGTGCTGAGACTGACAATTCTGATACAAGAAGGGGAGGTGAAGTCCAATCTCTGCTCAGCTGGGAGGAGCACAAAGGTGATGACACACCATTTAGTTTTGGGACAGCTTGGAGGTGTGGGTGTGCGACCCGCCAAACCAGGGTCACTTCACCCAAAGAAGGGTAAGCAGCAGAACTGGGCAGTCATGCACAGGACTCAAACCAGACTGTGCCAGTCAAAACGAGAGCTCCCAAAGCCTGGTTTCTGGTTGCACCCACTGCTGAGCACAGACTGTGCATCCCATCAAGCACAGGAGGTGATGTCCTTCCGCTGTTTCCAAGGGAAGGTGCTTCAGAACGCACAGGCACAGACACTCAGCGATGCTGGTGCTGGACATATGCAGATGTGGCTGAAGAAAACTAAACAAGTTGCATCAGAACCAAAGGGATTCAGGCAGCCCATCCCACTGGCTTTCATAGTGCTGAACATGACGGGCTCTTAGACAAACCTGTGGATCCCAGCCTGCTATGTGACGCTGCTAAGTGACTCTTGTCAGCAGAGTGTAGCAACTTGACTACCCTTTCACAGAGCACACTCTGGCCTGGGTACTGCCCAGGGGAAAAGCAGAGCCTCACAATTGGAAGGCAGGCACCAAAGGACAAACATGGGGCTGGAAGCTGGACAGTCCCAGCATACAGGTCAGAAATAAAGCTGCTTTTATAGCAAGGATTTCAGTATATGGTCTGGCTGTTGCTGACCTTGTCTGAGAACCTCCCAGCAGCACTGTGCCCATTAGTTGATATGCTGCAGGCCTGTATCAGATGACACTGCTATTACAATGCCTACAAAGGTAGAGAAGCTCATATGTTAACAAATAATACTGAGTGAATCGACTCCTCCTGCCTGCATTGCAGTTGCTGTTCTATTCCCTCCACTAAACTGAGCTTTAGGAGACAATTTTCCAGACCCCATGTATCATTGCAGCAGGAGTACTGTTGTAGACCAGGTAGAAAAAGTGGAGTTGTGAATTCACCTTCTCTTTTGAAATGTTACTCCATCCACCCACACCTCTTTCTTCTTTGCTAACTCCAGTCACCTATCCCCAGGACCTACACCCACTCTGATCCCAACTCACTGATGAACATACATGGAAACAGACCTTGCTAAACAGATTGCAGCTCCTGTTCCATGGCTGTGTTTATAGGATCATTTGGATACTAAATCTAGTACATAAATGAGAACCCACTGGTTGAGTAAGGTCTCTGGATTTAGTGCTCGCTCCATGAAACAGGTTACCCAGCACAGCAGCTCTGGGTGCCCCAGGACACAGGGCTCAGCCAAATGGAAGCCTGACCCCGAAGAGGTTAACGTGGGTTCTGATGCCATTTGGGAAATTCTCCCCATAGTGACAGGACACTCAGAACCTGAGTGAGGAGACACCTGAACCATTCAGAGGACTCCACCCAACAGAGGCCCCATCAGCCAAGCTGCCAAAGGTGCCCAGAGTCCCACACCTCTGTCCCAGGGAAAGCCCCGCATGCTGGGGACTGGGACCCTATGAGCTTGGGCTCACTTCAGTTAAAGTCTTCCCACTTTATAGCAACAATGTCCTGAAAAGATGGAGGATGCAGAACAGAAAACTCAGCATGGCACAGTGATGCAGAAGAGGTTTCAAAAGGTCAAGTCAGGGAGAAGTGGACTAACTCCGGTATTTTAACAGCTTGGCATCAATGCTATAAATTAAAACAAAGTGTGCTGGATATCTTATTTTGTGTGTGTGGTAAACTGTACAGTTAGAGTCTGAATAAACCTCTTTTGTCAAATTTACTACCTTTCTGATATAAAAATATATAAACTTAAACAAAGAAGAAGTGGAGACCTGCCAAGCCAGCCTACTTCGGTAAGAACTGCACTGACAAGGGAGCAATTGTGTCTTAAAGCTCAGGGGCTGAAACGATCAGTTTTTGGGGGCTGGCAAAGCCCTTCTGGAAGGAGCTGTTTTGTATGCAGTAGGAGCTACAGTAAAAGAAAAAAAAAAAAAAAAAGACACTGTTCTGAAAGAACATAATTAAATTTTTGCTACCAGAACTGCTTCCCTGTTTGATGGGAAGGCTGCATGTAAATAGCTGCTGTGAAATATACCAGGGTAACAGCACCTAAGAGCATTTTAATGATGATATAAAATTCACAAGTAAATGATATAACGTACTAAGTAACTTACTAGGCTGAATATAAAATAAAGAGTGATGGTTTTACTCTGCAGTGAATCTCAACAATGAGTTCTAGGCTTACCAGTCCGATGCCAAACATGGGAACTTCCATAGGCAGCAACACCTAATTACTGCTGGGTGGAGGTGAATCAACCACTTTCCGTCACGAAGCCAATGAGGGACCCTCAGACAATCTGCCAAAGGTGGGTGGGTGAATGAGTGTTACTTTCTTGCTAGGCTCCCATCAGGGCACCACACCTTGTGATATTATCTCTGTAATAAGCAAACAACTTTAAATGATATTGTGTCACTGCAAATGAAGCAGGAGGGTGACCCAGCAAGTCAGATTTCATTAGCGCATGAGGGACTGCACTCCAGCATGCAGGTACACACACACACTTACCTTCAGACCTTCAAACCTCAGCCTGCCGAGCAGAGCAATATAAACCTTAACCAAACACGCCTGAGACTGCGTCTCCTTCAGAGATGCACATGGATTTGCACATGCACAGCAGGCTCATCACTACACCGATGTCCTATTTGCTTTTCTGTGTGCCACTGTTGAAAGTTTTCTAATGCGCTAGGTAAGAAGATCGCAAATGAGGCAGAAATTCAGCTGCTCAATCACATTAATATGGGTACAGTAAAAGATGACAGGATTAAATATATTTTGTCTAATTAGCAAGCCATGTGCAATGCTGCCTGCCCAAGTGTTCATGCACTCAGGCTCATTGCCTCCCACCACTACACCTTCCTGCCTCTTTCCTCAGTTGCAAATACCTGCTCTAGTTCCAGTTACAGGGGACATATCTGGTCTGCCAAACTTTCCAGCTGTGAACACACCAGTGACTCCTGCCAGCCCTCCACTGTTCTGACTAGCATTACCAAGAGTTCTCCATACAAAAGGAGTGATTCAGAAGACTTCAGAGGTGTCACCTTGGCTGGGAACAAGTGCTGTTATCTGTCACAAGGAGAGAGCTTCAAGTCACCCAAGGGTATACCAGATCGGTTCACAAGGGCCTGAACTACAATAGCTAGATAAGTATGCTGATAGAAAGTAAGAAAGAAAATGGTTGAGAAGTCACCAGGTCAGACTGCAGGGCCAGAGCAGGAAAAAGGCTTTGCCAGAGCATATCTAGTGAAACTCAACCGTCTTCTGTGAATTCAACCTGCTATAGGCCATTGTGCTAATGTGTATTTTGGCAAGTGCCTGACCCTTCCTGTTGACTGAAATACTCATGCTCTCTAGAAATGACCAGGCCTGCACCCAACTCTCCAAACAGCTAACCTTCTTTTTTATTTCTTCCTCTTTCAAAACCAGTCAAATCCCTGCTGGGTGCCAGCGTCAGACAATACCACACTCTATCATCCGTTGATCTGGTTCCTCCTTGTTTCTTCTGTTTAGAACTGCTTCATGGTAACACAAAAGCCATAGCAACAACATTAGGATGGTCACTCTTGGTGGCCAGGCTGGGAAGAAAGGGAATCCCAACAGAGGAGTAGTAGGTGTGTCCTGCTTAGGTTGCTTCTGAATTTGACCTGCTCAGCCGCTCCCTACCAAAAATTCCCTCAACCAGCACATCAGGCTCATGCTGTAGGTGTCACAAACTCCACACATGTAATCAACTGGCTTCTTCTGAAAGGGATTAGCCTAAGCATTAGCAAAGAGCTAGATACCATTTTTAAGGTATCAGTACATTTTTTATCCGGGAACACTACCAAGCAAATTCATTTGGAAGCCATTTCCAAACACATTGACAAGAATGCAACTCAGAACAGGCAGCATGGATTTACTAAGGTCAAACTGTACCTGGCCAACATGGTTGTCTTCTGTGCTGAAATGACGTGCTGGATAAACAAGTTAGGGATGTTGTGGATGTCACTTACTTTGGTTTTAGAATAGCCTGTAACATTGTCTCCTGTCCAAAACAAACTGGGGTGGTACAGACTTCATGGATGGTCCACAGCACGCCTGGAAAAAGCACATGAAGCTCAAAAGGCAATAATGGTCAACAACTAGACTTCTAATTAATTGCATTAAGAAATGGCATTTTTCAAGGGACAAAACTAGAGCCTGTCTTCACTAACACCCTGGATGAAAGGGTGCAACGCGTGCTCTGCATGTTTGCACATGACACTGCATTTAGGGTGTAGATCATTATGCTGGAGGACAGGACAGCCATCCACTTGCTCTTCAGCAGACTAACCTGACAGAAATCTCCTCAAATATATCAAAGAGAAAGACAAAATCTGCACACAATACAGAATTAATCTGTGCAACAGCAGAGGATGGGAGCTGAGTGGTTAGCAAGGAGCTTCACTGAAAAAAGAAGCTGGGGTCCCAGTGGACAAAATGCTCATCATGAGTCAGCTGGGAGCCTGTGCAGTGGTGACGGCCAATTGCACCCTTGCTGCACAGGAGGTAACGGAACCAGATGCTCATCAGCAGTGCACAGTATGAGGGCAACGACCGCAAGCTGAAGCAGGAGAAATTCCATTGAATATAACTGGAGAAATGTTTCAAAATGAAAGCCGACATGCACTGAAATGGGTGCCCAAAGAGGTCTGTAACATCTACACCCATGGAGACTTCCAACATTTAACAACAAAGCCCTAAGTAGCCTAGGCTCATGCTGAAGTTAGCCCTGCTTTGAGGAGGTTGTTTGCAGCCCTCTAGATGCTCTTTCCAACCAAAATTATTTGATTATTTTTTAATTTTTTTTTTTAAACAGCTGTTGATCCCGGAGACCTGGCTGGAGTTAGTTACAGATTCCTCGAAAAGAACTAAGCTGTTATCTCCACAGCATCACCTGCCAGTTATTACTTATTTGTAACATGAATGAATTCAGTGCATACATCACAAGTCCAGACAGTCAAGAGACTTCAGGTCTGAGATTTTATCTTTGAGGATCAAAGAACTGAACTTTCTCTCCCTGATCTTCAACCTGAGCAAAAAAAGAGGCCTGTCTTTAATGTACTGTCAAAACCTCCTCACTTCAGAGGCAGCATGAGAAAGACTATTTCTGGGCTTTATTTTAGATTTATGCAGCTTGTGGTGGCAACTGGACACGTTGTGAGACCTTCTAATAAAACAATTGTTTTGGCCTGAAATGTTGTAAAAGCAGTGTACAACAGATGTCCTCCAAATGCAACACCTACTTCAATATCTGTATCCTACCATATATACACGCACATTTATATGCAGCAATCCAGGCTGCCAAATGCTCAGAAAATCTGATAGCTACCATGAGAAATGGTTGCTGGGTCTTTGCAGAATCACACTGCAAATGTGAGGAGTGGATCCATGAGGCTATGCCTTCCAGCAGCATGGGCTGCAGTGCCAGGTGTACCGGCACACCAGGAGAAGCTAAGGACAGAGAACTCCCCAAAATACACTGGTGTGCAAGGGTATTTTTACCTCCCAGGCTCAGCACAGACACAGGTCACCACAGTGAGTCACAGCCCCAGATGTCCCTTGAAAAACCGCAGCTGACCCAGGCACTTGCTGTCAGAACCACAATGAATGCCCAGAAAAAGCAACAGATTTAGCCCTAATCTCTGCACCAGTTGGGGTCTGTGATACCAACACAAAGCCCGGATCAAGAAGCAAAAAATAAATAAATAAAAGTAAAAACCCATATGTATTTGAAAGCACGTCCAGAAACAAACAAGCAAAACCTCTTATCCAAACAAATCATAGTTAGATCTTGGGTGAGACCATGTTTATGAAGGTTTAGCCAAGAAGCTTGCTTGGAGATACCTCTCCAGCCTTAGCATAACACAACCAGCCTGGACAAGCGCTACTAGAAAACACTTCATTAAAATGCTGTTGTGGTATTCATTTATAGGTAGCAATTTATATCACACCCATCGTACACACCAATCTGGCAGCTATGATTGTCAAATCAGACTGCTTCTTCCCCAGTACCCCCTGCCCAGAGCCCACCTCACTGCCCACACTCTCTTAGCAAAACAACTACTTCCCACCTGACATGGCCATCCCTCTGAATAAGCCTTTGTTTGAACTAATTGAGCTCTGTGTGTTCCAAACACAGCTGGGCATCAAAGATGCAACAGTCTCAAGAGCCAGGCACACATCTATGGTGCTCTGCAGCTAGGTACTCTTGGGTACAAGCTGTGACCGCTGCAGAGCTCTCCCCAGGAGACAGCTGGCAGCTGCATTCTGCATCTGCTGGAGAATCCAAGCGGCTTCGGACATATCAAGGGCAATACCAGAGAAGTTTCTCCGTGTGTTACGGATGCTGGTGGAAAAGCTAGTGTGATAAAACACCTTACAAGAAAGCACTGGGTGTGTCTTCAGAGGGGAGAAGTCAAAAAAAAAAAAAAAAAAAAAAAAAAAAAAAAAAAAGGAAGAAAAAAAACTGGCAAAAAAAGAGGTTAGATGAGGTAGCTGGGACTGCCAGGGGCAATCTGAAATCAGTTTACATTAGAGCAGGTTGCTCTTGATTTTGCTACAGCAGTTGTCACGCTTGGTAAGAATAACAAGCTATTCATATGGCAGCCACCATTGTGCAGCTCAGCACATGCAGCCTAGTGGAAAGAAATCTAAGCAAATGTAGTGACTAGGATAGGACATTAAAAAAAAATGGTTATGTAAATAAGTTTCTACTTCAGAAATCTGTGAGAACAATTGTTTCCCTGTAAGAGGGCTTCATCATTGGAGCACATGAGGCTTTATCCTAGATCTGCACTTTGAAATGCCCAGTGGGGACAGCCCACTGCAGCTCCCAGATTCTTCCCACTGTCTGTCCCTTTCAATCTCCAGCTTTTTTTTAATGCTCTCAAGTTCTTCAGCTATCTAGAGTTCCACCTTCATGCATGCCCAGAACTGCCCCAGTCTTGACAGGGCCAAGCAGCTCAGCCCATTTCACACCTAACTCTGATCAGGATCCAGAAACTGGGCGTTGCTTTGCCTGAACCCCCTGAGGGCTTTGATTGGGGATTATATGTTTCTCGGTGACTGTTCCACGTAAAATGCATAAACAGTCCTGGGAGCAGAATCCGGGCTCCCAAACTCCCATGTGAATGCTCAAACCAGTAGGAAAGGCAGCCACGCTCCCTCGCATGCACTTGCTTTGTGGCCCAGTGATTCAACAGCACGTTGCTGAGTGCAAGCAAGCGGTGCCTAGCTCCCCGCTGCATCGTCTGGATGCTCTGCAAGAGATGGAAGGTGGGAACAACGACCCTAAGGACAACAGCAACCCAGTTTGTCACTTCCTGGCTGCCAGCAATCGATGTTTCAGATTAAATATGTTTGCTGTGACAAAAAGGCTGTCTGTACTCACCTTCCAGAGGAGTTGTTGTGCTGGGGTGTCTGCAGACTTAAAAACTGAATTTTCCTATTAGTCTCTCTGGTCCCAACAATGACAGTTTTGGACGTTGTGCAGAAGCATCAGGCTTGCCTTGGGTACATGGTGTGGACTGCTGGCTCTAAAGCTGGCAGGTGGGCACTACAAGTCAAAAAGCATAAAGCTTAATAATGAGACATCAAAGCACTCCTGGGTATAACTTCAAAAGTCTCTATCTGCAAACAGTTACACCAGGAAGTTACTCAGCCTGGGCACTCAGGCCTCGGAGCAACAAATGAGGAGGTTGGTGAGGTAGCATGTGGTAAGGCATAAACACCATTGAGAAAATCTGTACTGCTGCTATTGCTTCAGAAGCAAGTCCTACTTACCCCAGCACTGCACTAACTCCCTCCTGGGTAAGGCTCTTTCCCTGACACACTTTGTCATGTCTTTTAATTTAGGAGGAGGGAAAAAGCTTGGCTTCTTCCAAAAAGCAAAGAACTGTATTCAGGTAATTGTTAAATAGCAAAATGCTCTCTGTGCCCATTTGCATTGCACCAAGAAACAATTTTTCAAGAACTACTTACTGTAAAAATGCACAAATGGTAACATTTCTTTGAAGAAACATCACATGAACCCAAATGCACAAAAAATGCCTGGAAAACACCCTATCTTGCACAGAAAGCAAAAGCTGCTCCTAAGTTTCACTTACTGCAGCAATGGCTTCACAGCCAGTTTCCCCATTTGCTTCAATGCTCAGAAAGTTCCTTTGGAAACCACTCAGCACACCAAGCACACACACACGAAACATAAGGAAGAGCCAAGTTACTTCTAGCAATTGCTCTCAGGTACCAGCATAAAGAACAGAGCTGTTCACATTGTCCCCAGGGCATGATCTGGGGGCAACATCTTCTGGTATCACAGAAGAACATGGAAAGAAAGAGGTAGCTTTGAAAACTCTTCTCAACTGTGTAATTTGGTCCAAACTAATCCACTGGGTTTCCACTACCACTCACCTTTGAATTGTCCCTGCATTCCCTACCCTGGGCAACACCAGAAACTCCCAGCTAAAAGCAGAAGCAGCTGCCAGCCATGCTGTATGACTACTGCTCTAACAATCTCATGTCCTCCACAGCTTGGTACAAGGCAGAGGTAGAGATGCTTTCCCTGCTGGGTTCGACCCCAGGACCACCATTAGCTACAGAGCACACACAGCGTGCTGACAGTCGTCATACAGGTTGGTGGTTATTTTTACTGTGCAGCATGTGTCTATTGGTCAAAATACAAGTGTAAAGAGCACTGCAGACAATGAGCACATTCAGCATTCATCTCTAAGACAGCATGAAATACTACAGTGACCTGTGGCTGTAGCTAAGCATCTGAGCACCTCTAAATGAATGCAGATATGGTAGCTTTTGAGCAAGGCCTGTGTTAGGACAGAAGAGGCTACAGGAGCTGCATGGAAGAAGGCTGGCAGGTGAATGAAGGGTGCTCCCCTGTCAGAGGTGCAACAAAGCCCAGGGCTTATTGGAGAACTAAGGCTGATGACTGCCAGGCATGTGAAGTGCTGAGGTACATGCTGAGGAAGCATGTTGGTGTGCTAATTCCTGACAAGGAAGGCTGCATGGTCCAGCAGCAGCGATGCAGTGCTCTGATCCACTGCACTGTTTGCAGGGCACTAAACACACTATTCTATGGAAATCACTAATGGCTTCAGGAGAAAATTAACAGATGGTCATGGGGGAAATCTCCCAAGGGTTGTTGTTTTTTTCCCCTCCTTCTCAATGATAATAGACATTTTCTGAAACCACCTGCACAATTTCCCAGGCATCGTGGCTGGCTGCTGGTTAGAACAGAGTGTGACTGCAGTGCTGTTTGCAGCACTAAGCTTGCTTTCCATTGTGCACCCATGCGTCCATGAAAGACTGCATAATCCAGAAATTCACCATCGTGATATCATAAAGACTGATGGGGGTTGGTAACTAATGCTCAGGATTAGGTTCAGGGAGTACTTAACGTTTTCTAGCTAATCACATTACTTCAGGTACCAGATACACTAGCTTTCCTATTGGTATTAGGGGAAGAAGCAAATCCTGACTGGTGTTTGGAGGAATAGTGAAGTGTATCACTGTTGCTAATGACTCCTGAAACTCACTACAACAGAAACAACAGATGTTACCCCAAACAAAGAGCAGCAAGAGGACACAGCAACACATCCAGGGACAGGCACAGAAAGCTTTACAACCCTCGGTGTATAATTCTGTGGGAAGGTGGGGATGGGCAACAAATATGTATCTCATGAGTAATGAACACGTGTATTTTCATGTGGCATCACCATTCTGTAAGGGCTGCCAGTTAGTAATTCTTGCTGCTCTCCCTGCCAGGACATGTGACATACAGCATGGCCACATGTTCATTCAGAGCAGTGTTGCACCACGAGATCTAGGACTTCATGCCACCTTCCTCGTAGCCTTGCTTTAGCTAGAAGGTATTTGCTCAGATTCTCAGCTCAACCAGACTTCACAGAAGTAGGAATCAATTCCACCATTACAATCCCTGTTGCCCACACCAGGTGTTCTGGGATAAACATCCTCAGCACATCGGATCAATTGAAGAATCTCTGCTAACTGTACTACTTGCCAACCATTCAGCTGCAGCCAGTCACACAGGTACAGACGCACAGGGCAGCACCAGCCACGCCAGCTTCCTGGGCAATGCGTGTTCTCCCCTTCTTCCTTCCCTTTTCTCAGTATCTCAGAACAGTCGGGCAAACAGAAGGGGCATCCAAAATACTCCTTTCCTGGCAGCCAACAGCCACTGGCCCTGTTTCCCGATGTATGTGAACACTCTGCAACACAAGTTGCAGAAATCCTTTTTCCATCCTGCTACAAAGACCCTACAATCTCCCAAGTGTTCTTCCCTGTGCGCTCCTCATCTTCCTCACTTCCACAGTTGCTACACAGCCTCAGTCCTCTGCTCACTGCCAGACAGCAAATGACTCTGCAGAAAGCCCCTCCTCACCACTCCTCTGCCACTGCCTCCTGTGAGGCAAGCCCAGGAGCTGAAGACGACTTTGGTACGGCTCTGGTATCGGACAGATGCTGAGCTCACCGCCAGATGTGACCTGCTCAGTAGAGAAAGTCTTCCCTCACCAAGCTCATTCCCTCCCACCTCGGTTAACAGGCATTTGGAACCGGGCTGTTGATCTGTTAAAGGATCACTGCCTCCTGAAATCACATTTCAGGAAGCCAGAAATTGCAGTTTGCAATCTGCGTGGTTCCTGTTTCCAAAGGTGACCTCATGTGTATGTGCACTCGTGTGTGCACCCCAGCTACCTTCCTTCAAGAAATACCTCTGTACGTGGCAAAGCCCCTCACAAACCTGTGCTGTGGGTGTGTGGTGACTGCCACGGTGCCTGGGTGTTGGTGGTGCCTGCTCTTGCAGTGTGCACATCACAAGCTCTACTTCAGGGAATAGCTGTGTGACATCTAACGTGCCTCAGGCTGGTGCAGCTGAAGGACACGAACATTAAGAGTTACAAATGAGAATCTGTGGTTAGCTGGCAGCTGGCACAAATGTTGCTTTTTTTTGATAAGCACTTCAAGTGTCTCATGAATAGGAAAACATTTTCTAATGAATCCTGCCTGCGCTCAGTAAGTGAACCACAAAGAACAGAACCCAGCCACCACACTACTTGGTATTTTGGGAAATCATCAGGACAACTGTCGCTTGGACAACAACCATCTTTTTTCACAAAAGCCCATGAAAGGCAGAGGTGCAATGCACACATGCTCAGTCCCTTGGAAGGACACTCTCAGACACCCATGTCTGAATTTTAACTGTTGACTATGGGCCAGGCTCTGAGATGACATAGGTGGTTTTGTAGGTTACATCAGCACCTCCACAGGGTGCAGTAAGCGGGCCAGCTACCACCACAGCTCTGGACTGGCATACTTCTGTAGGGAAGATGCACAGGTCTGATTGAGTCCAGGGGAGAATTGCCCAGGAGACAAATCACGCTCTATCCAGTATTTCATCCTTTGCTCAGTTTCCGAGGCAAGCACTGGCAAAATATGGAAGGTTCTTTTGCTGCTGCTGCTGCTGTGGATCCCCAGCTACAAATCCTCTGCACAGATGTTGAAAATAATCTATGAGAACATGGATTATTTCTAAACTGGCATTTTCATCTAGAATTGTGTTGGATATAATGGTGATGGAAGGACAGCTAAGCTAGGCCGATTTGTTACAGTAAAGCTGTGTTGTACTTCAGATTACTTATTAACAAACAGCAAATGGGCCTCTGCCTTGACCTTTTTCATTTGAGCAAATATACTCCTCCTGCCCCCTGTAAACAGCAGGTACTGGTAACTCAGTCACGTACCCCTCACATTACCAAAGTTAGCTTTCTTCAACTGCGGCAAGGAGTTCAAACTGAATTCTGCCAAGCTCACTAAGGTTATTAGCAGCATTATTAGCCTTAATAATACCAGCAGTAATAATAATTCTCTGGATCACCGTAGACTTGAGAACATCTAAGTAGTTCAAAAATATTAATTAGAAAAACTCAATAGGAGGTCTGAGAAACCAGCAAAAATTGTCAGCTTCACTTCAGAGCTAAGAGCTGAAAATAGAGCCACAGCAAGCAGAAGCAGCTGTTTGCCTGATGAGTTTCAATTAATGAGTGTTTCTTTGGTGTCATGAAATGTTAGGTGCCCAGTGCCTCTGGCAACACTACCAGGTTAAAAGCAGAAGCCCACAGTACGTATCTGGAGCAGTAGCAGGTTTGGGAACTGGAATCCAAAGGATAGTTCCGCCATTGAGACTTGGCCTTAGTCTGGGATGTTCTCCAGGCATCTTTTGCATTATGATCCCTTGGGCTCTTTGGAAAATTCCAGACCTGACGATCTTCAGTGTAGTTGAAGACCAAGAACACGCCTAGAACCTACACGTGTTCTTACGCCAACAAACCATCAACATCCAATCCTTTTATATTAAAACTTCTTGAGTGAAGAAGGCAAACTGTGACAAGCACTCCTTTGCAACAGGTAACTTTGTTTCCTACCTAATCACTTCCCTGCCTTCTCTCCATTTCTATTAAAGCTCTAGTGGGGGCCAAGTCAAGACAATGGCACCAAGACATTTGCAGTGTTCATCTTGGTTCTAAGTTAATTTTTCCTGCAGATATCATCCCAATCCACCTTGAATCACACAACATGAAGCACTCAGTAAACAAGGTGAAAGTTTCATCTAGATTCTTAACCAATGATGTTGCAGAGTCTTTGCAGCAAGGGGTAATTACTTGTATTAATTACAGGCTCCTCTAGGGTACATCATGCCACTGCATAGAGAGGACTGGACATACAAATTGAAGGAGTGACTCTTTTTGCTTTCTTTGATTTGTTCAAAAACCTTACCATTTGTAGGCATAAGGACACAGGCGAAGTCAACCTCAGTGTTTTGTTTGCAGTCGGGATGACGCAGCGCCAAGAGCAACAGCTTCACAATTGAGAGATCCCGGTGCTGTTTCTCACTCTGACACACACTGCTCATGTGACCTGGAGCATGTCACATAACCTGTCTGTCCCCATCTGTAAAATTAGGATAATGGTAGTTAGTTCATGTTTAAGCCTGAAAGATGTCAAAACATAAGAAAAAGGAAGCTTCTCTTCACTGAGTCTTCATCCATCAATGCCTTAAGAGTCACAAAAAGCACTGTGTCTAGATTGATGCCATTTTCCTGCTTATGCTATGATCACTGGTATCTGCCCAGTGGGCAGCTTTTCATTCTGTGACTGTGCTCACTCAGTAAGGCTGGCTTCTCATCAAGCATGTCATTGCTCTGTACTGCTCATTTCTGTCCCACATTCTTCTACCCCTTTCTAAACCCTGATGCCCTAAGGTGATCTCATCAGCAGGCTGCTTTTTCTATAGGTAGCACCAGTCAGAAACATCCTCTTCCAGGCGCTCGCCCCCAGCTGCTGGGTCCCAGGTCACAGCCACCCCCAGCATGTCTGCTCTGTCACTGCGCAGTGCCAGTTCTCACTGCGCACTCGGCCACCCCCAGCTACTACATTCTACCACTGACAGTCAAAGTAGGTTAAGATAATGTTGCCAGAGTCTGGACCCCAGCACAAGAAACCCTCAGAAGAGCAACACCAAAAAATTTGCACATTTCTTCACTCCTTAAGCATACCAACCTGTAATCATTTGGTGGATGTATGTTTTTTAAAAACAGCTGCTTTCTTGACTATTCATTACTATACGAGTTAGTTACTTCTCAGGAAATGTCTTTCTCAGGATCTTCTCTATTGTCTGGAAACATGGCTGATAACTTAATAGTCTAACTTCGCAGTCACAAAATTCACTTCATCCAATTCCTTCAGATCATTTACACAGTTAGATGTTCTCCAACTTCACAGTGAACTTGAAGTACATGGTTTACTGATAATAAATCCCAATGCCTTAGATGTCCCTGTACATCTCCTGTGAGACCCACTGTAATTGCTCCTCACATACAATTGCTAGGTTTGGCGCGTCGTGAGGTGTTGCTCCTGGGAGAACGGCAGAGTCCATTTTCCTCTCACTTCCCTTTGTCTCAGAGCCTCAGTAGCAGCATCTCCTCAGCAGGAGCACACTCTGAAGTTTATGGTTGTGTGATGCCTAGCGACTTCAACAGAAGTCTCACAGCTGTCATCACACATAACTGTTTGAAGATTCAGGCTGTCTTTCATCCCAAACAGACTATTCACAAAAAGCCTGTCATGGTTCAAACCATGACAAAGTCTCAACTACGATTCAGGCACAGTCACTGACTTGGCCAGTTCTCATCACTTACATGTTATCTTCTTGTAGAAGCACTACCCAGGCTGACACTTGGGCAGCACGGAAGTAGCACTGCATCTCTTGGCCAGCAGGCCCTAGAATACAAACACAGATCTACCAAAGTGGGGGCTCTCAGCACAGCCCTCTAGTTGCATTTTCTGGCACAACATCTGACAAACATCAGATAATTGCTGGAAGAATGTCCCTAACACCAGACAGGCTAGAGCTCTGTGGGGCTTCCAAGGTCCCAGCCTCATCGGCGCGTGGATCCAGGGCACATATCAAAGAGCAGGAGCACACCAGGGGCAGGCCCACCTCCCAAAGCCCACATGTACAGGAGCTGTCCTGCACCTGCAGCAGTGCAATGGCGTAATAGCTCACGTCCTCACCTCACCTCTCCTTCCTTCCCTCCATCTCGGATAACTCCAAACGCCTGCCACCAGGCCAGTCAGCAGCTGCCTTCTGTCCTCAAGAGCATACCTGGCTGCACTACGGGAGAAGAGGGGACACCCCGCTGTCACTCTAGCCTTTGGCTCTCACACAGCTGAAGCAGGTACAGGATGACCATCCTGGGACAAGCCCACAGTCAAGGGCAGCAGCTCTTTTCTTCTATCTGGTTCCTCTGAGGAGGGCCCCCTCGACTGCATGGAGGGAACAGGAAGGATCTGGAAAGCTCTGCGGCTCTGTGCCATTTTCATGTTTGTTTACACGCATTACTCCCTGAATGGGCAGAGGTCTGTGAAACTGCTGATTCATGAACATCTCTGCCATCTGTGGCCTCTTCAAATGAGAGCTCACCCTGACCCAAGGATGATTTACTTTTCTTGGCTTTTCATCTCAGTAAACTGATTCTGTCTCCATTCCCTCAGACTTCGAGGGATTTGGGTAAAAACAAATATTATTGAATCTCTTGAAGCTGCTGAGTTAACTCTGAGCAGTTGAGCATTCAAGGCTCTGACAGGGAAGAAAAAAATGGCAAGAGTTAGTTCTGGGAATGACTTCTCCCAAGCCTCGTACTCCGGCATTCTTTTCAAACCTACCAGTCTCATTTGCCAAGTCACAGTTTGGAGACCACCGAAGACAGGAAACACTCTGCCATCCAGCACCTGGAGCTGGGTCTGAAGGGGGATTACAAACATGTTAAGTTGCTGGGCACCGCCACACGTGTCCATTCCAGATAGGATACAGACACCTTGCCTCATCACCAAAGAAGCTTAGTTTCCTTCTTCCACACTCCAGTCGCCACCACGATGTACCTGCCTGCTTTTCGCAGCTGTCTTCGGCTGTTGTCCTATTTCACTTCCTTCCTCTCTTTTTGCTCCCTGCTCTATCTGTTGCTGCCAATCCACTTTCCCATTAATGGTCACGGTCTCACCAAGCAGGGCGAAGCTGTGGTCAGTAAGGTCTCCTGTCAGGGCATGTTATAGAACTCTATTACAGCCAAGCAGCTGCCCCTTTTTTCCCCCCAGCTATGTCTTCCTACTTGTGAAACCATCCCCTCAGAACCAGAAGAACCCGCTCCAGAGGAAGGTGCCTGAGTGGGGCCCTGAAACTCAGTTATTAGAGCTGACACTGAAGTCCAGAGGTGCTCGGCTGCACCACCCACAAACGTCATGCGAGTGGAAGGTGCTGTGCATGCCTCAGAACCAGCCCTGGTGTTATCGCAGGACAGATCATAACCACCATCATAAAAGCGTGCAGTAACGTCAGTTTAATTAATGGTGAGAAGAACTAAGTCTTGCCAGGCCAGATCGCAAATTCAGAGTTTCTCACGTGATGACTGTCAAATTACTGTCTCCACAAAAGAACGTCAGAGAGCACATTTAATAAACGTTGGAAACGTTTATCAGAGCAGCAGTAGAGATCCTGGCTGATCCACTAGGATCCCTGGATGCAGATCCAAAAGCAGAGACAAGCTTCAAGGAGTTACCACCAATCAAATACCTAAAACAGGACAGTTCATAAACCTGACTTAGGAACCAAATTCCAGTTTCAGCAAGGTCCCTCCCCCTCAGTCACCTGCACTCTCTGGTCTATCTCTGATTCACGTGCAAACTTTCTGCTCCCCCACCAGCCCAGCACAGCATCTCCAAGGAGGTGCATTTTTCCATTCTCATTCACAGGCACACAGAGACAGAGGGATGTCTTCTCTGAATGCCCAGAGGAGTGGGGTCTAGCAATCCAGCTTCCAGTGAGACAACTGTACCCTGGGTTCCTCACAACACGAAACCCTGATCACTTCACTCTGAAACAACCTGCTGACCAACAGTGGGACAGGAAGCAGAAACACCCCATTACTGGGAGGCATGGTTTCATGCCAAAGGGTTTCACCCAGAATAACTGGGGGCTGGCTTTTAGACCGTCTCATGGGAAGTGAGAGATGAGCAGATTGAGGAACGCACTGAACTCAGGTCACTCACTTCCCCAGTGAATGCTCTAAAATAAATGATAGTGACTTAGAAGACTGATACCAGCCAGAAGGAGGGAGTAGCACTCTCTTGTTTCGGCAGGATTGCTGGCTCTGTCCCTGGGGAGACCCTTGAAGCCCTCAGAGGACACAAGCATGAAGCATGCATGAAGTTTCTGTTTTCAGATGAGATGGCAAGGGAGCTGAGAATGGAAGGAGACCGCAGAAACAGCTGCATTTTCAGGGTGTCCTCTAGACATCAAACACTGTTTGGGAAGCCTCAGCACATCAGCTCTGCTCTTGGCTTCAGGGTGTGGCTCTTAAGGCTGCACAGCACTGCGCCCAGTGCTCACATCCCTGGTGCTCCTGGGCCAGCAGTCAGCTAGCATTATGATGGGTCAGGGTAATGGGGTACCCAAAGCCACCAGAACGAGGTTCCTCCGCTCTATCCATGCTCTCTGGGTGAAAGGATGTGGTTTGCTGAAGCTTTCCAAGTCTCCAGCACATTGCCATTGACTAGTCACGGGAATTTTATCTTCTGATGAGACTCTGGAAACAGTTTATTCCTCCTCTGTAGAAAACAGGATAAAAACCTGAAGTGACACTTTCATATTGCAATAAAACACTCTTTCAAGCTAAATAAATTCTGCCTCATCTGGATGAAAGCGCATTGTACTTCCATAGTCTTATGTGTTACCCTGCAGTACTAACACGAAAACAAGCCTTTCACACAAAGCAATCAGAGAAATGTATTTCAAGCGTTGGCTGGAAGTTTCATGTACAGAATTTTTCAGGTCTGCCATGAAAAAAGCAACATCATACAACTTTTACAAGCTGCTTCTCTTGGCAGATAGCATTGCCATTCTCAGTTCAACTCAAAAGGCTGAAGTGACCAATACCACTCAGCTAAAAGCAAACCCCTGCCATTGCTGCAGCCACTGCGGAGTTCTGCTTTCATGCTGCTGTTAGCAAAGGGAGTTTCAGAAGAATTTTGGATTGGCTTGGAAACAAGTCTAGCAGGGTGCTACAAATAGAAATAGCAGAAGAAGGTAGCAGAGTAAAAATATGCAGTGCTAGATTGTGGGTACGGAAGTATTGGCAGACATGAAGCCAACACAAAGATGGGCACCTGCTATGATTCTCAGTGTATCCCATTTCCAAATTCCCAACAAAGCTCCTGTTTGCACTAATCTCACCTCCCTCCTTCACACTGACACACACAGCCATTCTGGATAAAAACACAACATCTGGGTGCCTACAGCAAGGCGTTGCTCACACACCCAATAGCCTGGTTATTTTCCAAGGTGCAGACCACGTCCAGTTCCTACTGACTCCTGCAGGATTCGTCAGCCTCATTTAGGCATTTAAATATGGATTTAGGAGCCTAACTTTTGGCACTGGGGGTGGAAAACTCTAGCCAATAAGGCTGCACAATCCTATTACCACGACGGCTTGGAAATGTGAGAACTCAGCAGTTTGGAATAAGGCGCCACATTAAAAATAGATTAAACTGAAAACAGCCCATGCAGCCTCCGGCGCCTCGGACAAGTGTCTGCCAGCTGAGATGCCTCGCAGGTAACTGTTCGCGAGTGAATCAGGTGCTGGCTGGAGGTGCCCACAGCTGCCTCGAGACACAGACAGATTTTTATTCCAGAGACACTGTTTTTTTCTAGCACCATATGAAACTCAGCAGCCCTAACCCTGCGGGGATCCGTGTAAACCTCCAGCTTGCTCTGGTTCCCATGGCACTCACATCCACTAGTCTCACTTTGAATTTCAGGCTCACGAATCCCCATTCTCAGCCTACAGATAAAGGCTGCCAAGCCAGTGCTCCAGCAATGGAGCAGGACTGTTTCCCTTCCTTGTGACCCTGAAGGAGCAGTGGTGGAGCCAGGCTGCCCTGTTGTGACGTGGACAGCGTGACAGCACACAGCGCAAGGTGCTGGGAGGACTTGTTTCCTGGCCCGCTGGCAGCCTGAGGGTGAAACAGGGAGAGCTTGTCTCTGTGCCTGGTGGCTTCCTGCTGGCCAGGGACAAAAGTCACTTGTCCCTTTGGTTCCCCAAGACCCACCCAGCATGACCGCAGAGATCTGACCTGCCGACAGGCACTCATGGCAGTGGTGGGGTTGCATTTCAGTGGCTCGGCTGCTTCTCCTCCAACAGCTCCCAGAGGAACATAATGCTTTTATGCTTAATATACATGCTGTCATATTCAATTATATCTTTTCTTTGGAAGCAACTTCATAATAGACCAACACAAAACAGAGACCCAAACCCCAAAATCCAACAAGCAAAGCGAGCTGAGCACGGCTGCAGACATCACCGATGAATTACTGCCCCTCCAGCTGACAGAGAGTCTAGAGAAGCCGTGGCCTTGCCAGCTTCACAAGAGCCATCTGCCATGCCCTGGCGGTTACTGGTCACTAACAGCACTTCGCTGGATTTCTGCTCTTTCTCTTCTCCATTCCCATGATGTGGTGAGGCCCTTGATAGCGGCTTTTGCTGCCTCATCAGCATTTGTGGCATAAAAAATTTGTGACAACAGAGCAAACCTTTGGATTCCACAGCTGGCTGCCTGAGCACAGAAATGACCGAGCACGACCCCAGCTCCTGGCTGTCCTCCCCCACAGTCAGTCCTGCCATGCCTGATCCACGCAGAGGTCCCAGACTGACAGCAAGGAGCACGACCTCACAGCAAGGACAGGCAAAGGACCCGCTTGGAGTACACTGGCTGTATCTGCATGTGTCTCAATGAGCTGCAGTAACATCACAGACATACTCCATCCAATTTCATCTTCAGCTGAGTACAGTAACTCACTGAATACTGCAATACACTTGACAGATTAAGAAACCTTTTGCGTTTTATTATGGTTAATTTCCTGTATATCTCTCTGCAGTTTATTTTCCCTGCAGGACTGTTTGGGAATGCCTTACAATAACAGGACCAACAGTACGTACCAGGTGTGTGAATGAGTAACTGCCCACAATAAAAGCTCTGCCAAAACTCTGGGGGATTTCAGAGCATTCTATTTCTGTAGATACAGGACGTCTGAACACACTGCCTGGTTTTCAGTGGAATAAGTAAAAATGGATGATTGACAGATGGGGATCTATCTCCTCCAAGCCTTAGGGTTTAGAAAGAGCTCCCCTACTCCCCCAGTCTACATACAACCTACATATTTCGAGATCCAGAAGGCACCTTTTTTCATATGTAACTCTAAAAATTTACACTACGCTTTATAATCCTAAAATACCTCCATGGCACAAAGCCACGTTTGCAATACGTGGGTGGAAAAGCTGTCAGCATAGCGGAAAAAGAAATATTCTGCTGAAACTCCAAACTTTGCAGAAACAGCTGAGTCACTCGTTTGCAGTTAAGGTAGCCTGGGCTTGTTGCCCTCTGTGACTGTTTGGTGCCTGGCACACACAACCAGCCCCTGCCTGCCAGCACCCGGCACACCTGGGATGAGAGTGCTCCCCTCACAGGTGTTTCTCACCACCCACTAGTAGCAACTGTGTGATGCTGACCAGCTGGAGGCTGCAGCCCCGGGGTATCCGCAGCACTGCACCGAGATGCATGCTGCCCAACTCACAGCCATCAGCTCAGCCCTGCTAGCAGGATGACACGCAGCAGTATCGACAACTTACAACCTGACTACAGTTCTTAAGGCAAACGATGTCCCCCCAGCCTCATGAGAATCAGTATGTTTTTACTAAAAAGCACGAACATAATGAAAAACTTGAAAACCTCACTCAAGTGCACTAAGCTAGAAGAGCAAAAGACGAAGCTGAACAAAAAGATCTCCACATTTCATTCTCTTTCATTAAGTCTCCTGATTCTTTAGTCAGTACTAGTGCCCTTGGTTGGTAAGAGCGAGCTGCCCATGAGCCATTTATTAGCACATAAAATTAACGAAATTGCAAAGCTCTAGCAGCCGTAACTGCCAACAGATTATAGACTCTACTAATGCAGTCATACGTGAAATCTAGAAAGTTGCTTACAGGGCAAGTTTGCTACTCTAAGATCAGAAGTAGCTTTGCATTTTCAACTCTAACTAACAAATTGTCTATAAAAGCTGATGTGCCACACTTTGGTGGTACGTGCCAGCAGCTGCACATGTTGATGGGGGTACAGCCCACACTGGACATCACAAACACCTGCCCAGGACGTGCACACAGCCCAGACATGAACTGTATCCTTGCCCTGCTCTCCTATCACACTGGCATTCTGGGAGGTATGTGGGTGACGGAAGAAATGCAGGGAAGGATTCCCCTGTGTTTCAAAATTTTCTGTAACTTTTCTGGTCGCTCTAGTGTTTCACAGAACCCAGCAGTCCTCCCAGCAAGAGAGCTTCGCTTTTCACGGGAAATGACTCTGACTGGGGCGAAAAACACGCTTTTCTAAATAAACAGATGATGTTATATAGCATGAAAGCTAACAAAATAGCAACCTCAGCATGCCTACCGCCTGCCTGCCATCACACTGCACCCATCAGGCTCTGGCTGGAGCCCTATGCAAGTGTTGGGTCTTCAAACAGAAGCTGTCGTACCTCCGGCTGTCCCGTGGCCTGGATCCCCCTCCTTTGGAGCCTTGCTCCCACTCCAGCTAGGCCTGCTGCCAGCAGCATCAACTCTGAATCTTCTCGCCCCTACACCTCAACAGCTGCTGTTTGCCTTTTCTCTTTTCTAACCTCCCCTCGGTATATCCCATTTTCTTCTGAACACTGCAGGTCGCAGGCCAGAGCCAGCAGCACAGCTCCCACCTCAGCCCCACCACGGCCCACAGAGCCAGCAGCACCAAGAGCACCAAGAGCTCCTCCCCAGCAGCAGCACGCCCAGGGAGCGCTCCCTCAGTAACCAGCAGCGCGTAGTGACAGCATGAGAGGACAACTGCAATCCACAGGGAAGGCGTCCGGCACTGCAGCGTGCAAGCCTTCAAGGAACACCCTCAGTGACAAGCAGGGAACACAAATACCAAAATACCTACTGCTCACACTGCCCTAAAACATTCTCATTATTTGAATTTTTTCCTACAGCTGCAGAAAGAGAAGAGCAAACATCACCTGCTGCAAAAAGCATACAAAAACCCTCAGCATGGCCCACGAGCTCTTGCAGGGCTAACTCAGGTCACAGACGGAGCACTGCAGACATGCCCAGCTCCTGCATAGCACTGCCTACACCAACAAGATCACCAAACTTCTGTCACTGTTTATAATTTTAAGGAAATCGTTCACACACAAACAAGCATTAAACAGCTAGTTACGTTACTGGTAGGTAAAAATTCCAATTTCCAACGCCATTCTACCATCAAATTACAAAAGATAACCAAAAGCACAAATGGCACCCACAGATTACGGAATGACCCACACATTGTTACAGCTCTCATGAAATATTCACTTGGAATCTGCCTTAGCAAAGGCTGTTTTTAAATTAGTTGTATCGGCTCAGAATTCTTGATGCGATATTTGCAAATGTTGTTGCCCACAATGTAAACAAAAAGCAGTACAGCCAGAGCTGTATTTACATGACCTACATGTCCACTTACAATAAAAACTTGGTGCTTTCATGTGGTAATTGCACTATGACTTTTTGAAACAAATACTGCCAATACTTTTGCTATATCCCTGCCTCACTTAGTGAGCCAAATAACCCGTTCTTAAAATCAAAACTAGGGACTCTAAACCTTACTTCCACTGCACACAGAAGCAATCCCCCCTCACCTATTTCACTGCAAACAAGTCAATCCTGTAACCAACTGCAGGTCAAAAACTGCTGAGGATGCCTGTATGAGAACACCAGCAGTCCCATTTTTTTGGTACTGAGCCTGAGTTCCAGTAAACAGAGGAGGGCTGCTGACTGGAACAAAGCAAGCAGCACTTGCACACAGACTTCCAGATTTTATACTACTTTATGAGAAGGCTTAATCCTAATTTGTACAATTATGAGTCAACAACAAATACTCATTTCAGCCCAACTTTACCAACAGTATTTTAACTGAACTGGCACATCAATAAAAATGTGAAAATGATTATTCTGAAGTCAGTGAGTATATGTTTCCAGGCCTCCAATCCCCACATGAAACTGAATTCTGCCCCACAAAGGAGAATTAAGACCTAACATACAATGACAACACAACAAAAACAAAACATGTATGCAACAGATGAGCGTATGGCTGTATGTGAAAGCTCAGGCATGTGATACCCACTGACCAGCAGTGGCTCAGCAGCAGCCCTGATGTCCCAATCCCTGGTTGGGGTGTATCACTGCTATTCGTATCATCCCCTCTTCCTGAGGGACAAGTCACATCTTGGAGACATTTACTCAGTAAAGATTTCCCCTGATTCCACTGAAATTCTGCCAAATAAAGTGGTCTGAATGCATAAAGCAGGGTCAATTGCTAAATGCAGCTTTCAAAAATGTAAATAGTTACAAATCACAAAAACCCTGCTGAGGAAATGAGGTGTGCTGATCCTCCCGTCAGTCACTCTCTCCCCACTCTCCGCGCTCTGCACTCTGAAAGGCCGCGCTGCTGCTCACTACGGTGCATCCTCATACTTCAAAGGAGAAATCAATTCACCTGACAAAGAAAGGAATCACATCTAGACCAGGGCAGGTCTCCAAACTCCTTGCTAACTAAGAACAACTGTTAGAATAGAAGCTGCCCTTACTGCACAGAAACTACGGTGAGTGCAGGTAGCCAGAGCCAGCTCCTGCTGCATGGGCCCATCCTGTTCCCACCGCAGCCAGTGGCAGGGCTCCAACCAGCTTAATGGGAACAGCAACACGCTTTCTATCTACTTAATATAAATGAAGATACACATCTCCTCTTTGACATATTTTGGGCTCAAAGCCATTGGCTGACACTTGTTTGGTTCTCTGTATGCACATGACTCATGGGATAATATAATGCCTGATTTCCATTCTGCCAGACCTGTCTTTCTCAGTGGTTAACTATTAATTTTGGAGGCAAGATGCAATAGTGCAGTAAAATAGGATGGTGTTAAAGTAAGAAAATTGCAGTTAAATATTTAGAGTAAATGAATCAGATTTCCTTTTGTGAGGATTCCCTTCCAATTACAGACTCCCAGCCACACGCTCCTGAGGACACCAGCCCATTGCTCCTGTACAGAGGGCGAGGTCACCAAGCCTCCAGCAAAGCACGGGCAGGCGGTGTGCTGTGGACATGCTGCCTTTATCCAGCTCAAGGAAAAAAAACAGACTGTGGAGGTAGTCTTACAAAAATCCCTATTCCAAAGAGTTGATTTTTATATCGGGCCCCCTACAGAGAAGCAGGCCACTCTGGACATGCTCAGTAAACTACAAACACGTGCTGATTTTCCACCAAAACTGTAACACCTTTGGGGTAAGGACTGACTTCTCAGATCCAGTCAACATCTGAGGTACCAAGGACTAACCCAAATGATGCAGGGACTACAAGAATTATCTGGACAGACATTTGCATTCTTCTGAAGTTTCCTGTGGAATAACTATTATTAAGCGTTGTGGTGGCTTTAAAATGCCATATTTCAGATAGGGCGCAGCAAAGCACACGAACACAGATACTTCCATGCATGGTGTGCATTTGTACACGACTTCACTGTATAAATGAGGATTTCATTACTGGGGAAGGAAGAGAAGCCCAGAACCAGGGACACCAATGTAAGAAAAATTAGTTTGGCATAATCTATTACACCAAGAGTGGGTCTGTCCCACAACCTTTTACTCAATTAAATTTTCATCGTTTTCACCTCTGAACTGGGTCACACTTGGCAAGCACACAGCACGGAGAAGCACCTGTTTCCACCTAACTGCAAAGCAACTCCCGCTGCCCCCCTGTCAGCAGGGAAATTACTGCAGGGTGCTCCAAAAACTGCCTCCCGACCTATAATCACTCAAAGCAGATAGAGAAGGCAAGTTCGACTGGGGTAATTCCCCTGCTGCAGTGGAAGAAAACAAATCACTGAAAAATCTTGTCGTTCCACCCCCACCCTGGCCCAGGCCTCACTGCGGCCACAAGCAACCTCTCACCCCCGTGCACAGTGTGAGCACACAGCTGCTCTTTCTCTCCCTCCCTCCCTCCCTCCCCCCGCCCCGCTCCACCTCACCGCCCGCCCTCCGTCCCGGCCCTCGTGTCCCAGCCCAGCCTCTGGCGTCGTGGCGCGGGCCGGGCGAGGAAAGCCTGCACAGCCACACTGAGACACGTGCACCGGGAAGGGCGCGGGCCGACAGCCCTACTGGGGCAGCACCGCTCGCCCTGTCGCGGTGTTAAGGCGGGAGTCTCCAGTGCCTTCTGCTGCGGGTAACGGAGCCGCCACGCGCACGGCACCGCGCAGCGCAGCACGTGGCCGGCAGCGGCACGGCTCTGCGGGGCGGGAGGAGGAACGCGACCAAACGTCCGTGTTTTTGCCCGGCACCCGCAGAGCGCAGCTCTTCCCTCACAGCAACGTGAATCTAACCGAGAAATAAAAATCCTTCATCCTGCCGCACTCCGTCCCGCGCTCCGCGCCGCCACGATGCTCGGAGTAGGCCGGGCCTTACCTTCTCTCAGCGCAGTCGGAGCGTACCCGCAGCGCGTCCCGCCAAGAGGAGCCCGAGCGCTCGGTACCGCCGGGACGGCGCGGCTCGTCCCGCACGGCTCGATGACAGCCGCCCCGAAACACGGCGGGCTCGGCGCTGCCCGCGCTCCCCGCGCTCCCCGCACTCCCGGCCGCCTCCCCCCCGCCTCGCGCCTGGCGTGCCGCGTGCGCCTCGGTGCTTCCCCGCGGAGCGCTTCTCCGCCCCGCTACGGCGCGCGCCCCGCCCACGTGAGGCGCCGCTCCTCGCAGCCGAGAACCGCCGGGGCGGCGGGATCTCTGTGCCCGCGACCCCGCGCTCCACGCCGTTGGTTGTTGCTCCGGTATCGCTCTGCTTCGGGAACGGCCTTCCGTCCCGGGCTCCCCCGTGCCTGGCGCGGCCCCGCGGCCCTAACCGGCCGCACTCCCTCCGATGGCCGCCGCCGGGCGGGGCCCTGGCGCCCTATCGCAGCCGCTGCTCGCGCCGCCTCCCCTCGGGCTGCGGCCCCGAACCCGACCCCGGGCGCACCGAGGCGTGGCGGAGCCGCCCTCTCGGGCCGGCGGTCGCGGCTGGCCCCGCGCCTCGCGGTAGCCGTGGCCCCACGGGGGGATCGTGTCGTGCCAAGCCCCAGAGCGGCGTCTGCTTGCCCGGCCGGGGCGAAACTCCCCTAGGGAGAGGTGGGGCCCGGCACCGCGAGCGGCCGCGCGGCGTCTCCGCGTGTCCCGACGCCATTCGCGTCCCACCCGGGCGCTCCCTCAGCCCCGGCCCCGCAGCGCCGTGCGGGATCGCACCTGCACGCGGCACGGGGCGGACCGCCGCCTCCGGAAGGCGCCGCGAGAACGTGGCGAACGGCCCGCGGTGCCGAGAGGGGCTCGGAGCTGCCCGGCCCCGGGACAAGCAGTGGAACACTCAGCGGGCGGTGATGGCAGAGTATATGCTGTTTATTATGAATGTAACCAGGACTATCCGACAAAACTGTATATGCTGTCCCCTCCCAAATTAGAAAAAAAAAAAACAAAAACAAAACACCGATGTGTGTGCATATACGTCCACTTTCCCACCCCACACGCACGCCGCACACGCGCCCCGCACACACCCGCGCTGCCCTCCCGCTGCCCCCGGCTCTGTCCCCGGGCCCGGAGCGGGGCCTTGGCCGTCCGCAGCAGCGCAGCTATCACTCACCCACCCACCCACACAAATAATAAAATAACGTTGCAGCACGAGGGCACAGTCTCTGTCACCAGATAAGAAAGTGGTGTGATGGCAAAGATCTAAGTAACGCAGTAAAAATAGTGTAGCTAGTATACACGGAAAGGCTTTCACATTACATGAGGCACAGCTTGGGCAGACAGAGACACGGAGAAGAGCTGAATGTCCTGGGAGAAAGCAAAATACGCTGAGAGTTTGTAGTAAATACCCGCATCGATAGGTATTTATTCACTTGTGCTTCGCCATGTCGTGACATACAGTACAAGTCGCCGCCGCTCTTTCCGCCGGAGCGGGGAGCTCCGCCGGGCCGCCCTCGGCCCTACTGTCCGGCTGCCAGGCCGGGCTGTCCGCGGGCCGCGCTGTCCGCCGGTCCCGATGTCCGTCTCTCGGGCTGTCCCGTCCCTCTGCCGCCCGGGGCGGTCCGGCGCCGCTGCCGCTCCGCACCCGCCACCGTCCCCGTGCCTGCCCCGCAGCCCGCACGTCCCCACGCTCCTTCCTCGGCAGGCTGCGGGCACAGAGCTCCTACAGGCAGCTTTAAGGCACATCTGGGCTGCTCTATGTGCTTTATTACTATTACTATTATTATTGTCATTTACCCTGTGTAGACACGTGGGTTTTTTTTTTATCTCTTCCTTCCCTTTGCCTTTCTCCTTACAAAACCCACCACGTTTTTCAGCTTATTCGTGTGTCAACCCTAAGGCACCGACCTGGTAATACTACAGCTGCCTGGCTTCTGTTATTGGTCATTATTGTTGGGGAAAAAAAAAAGAAAAAAAAAAAAAGCCCACCCCCCGCAATCTGAGCCCGCTCCGGCACCGCTCGGAGCGCACGGAGCAGCGGAAGGGCCCGGCTAGGCACAGCTGCCCATGGCCTTCACCAGCGAGCTTTCGGGCAGCTGCCTGAAGATGCCCCGAAGAGTCTCCAGCTCCCGGCTGAGCTGCTCCACCCGCTTCCGCAGCCGCTCGTTATCGGTGGTGAGCTCCAGCACCTTCTGCTGCGTCTCCACGTTGCGCTGCTTGGCCTTGTCCCGGCTCTTGCGCACCGCGATGTTGTTGCGCTCCCGGCGCACGCGGTACTCGTTGCTGTTCTTGTCCACTGTCTTTTTGGATTTGCCGCGGTGGTCGGCGGGCATCATCTTGAGGGCGCCGGGGGCGGCGGGCAGCGCGCCCGGGGGGTGCGGATGGTGCGGGTGGTGCGGGCTGGGCACGGGTGTGGGGGGCGGCGTGGGGTGCCCGGGCTGCAGGTGCACGGTGGTCTGCGCGCAGTGGGCGATCTGGTACTGCAGGTGGGATGGGTGCTGCTGCGGGTGCGGGTAGAGGGCCGCCAGGGCCGCCGCCTTCACCTCCTCCTCCTCGCGGGGCTCCTGCTTGATGACCAGCGGCCGCAGCCCCGGCGCGGCGATGCGCTCGTAGAGCGGGTCGAGCTTGCCGTCCATGTAGCCGGCCGCGCAGCCGAACAGCGGCTGCTGCTGCGGGTGGTGCCCCGGCGCCGAGGCGGCCGCGCCGGCCCCGTGCATGCCGTGGAAATCGAAATCCCCGGCCAGGACGGCCTTGTGCTTCTCCTGCTGCTTGCTGTGCTGGAAGAGGTCGGCCAGGAACTCGTCGTTGAAGGCGGCGGGGTCGATGTAGGCGCTGATGTCGATGGAGTGCTCGTTCTCGCAGATGTCGCCGAGCTCCGCGCCGCCCGCAGCAGGTGCCGCCGCCGAGGGAGCCTCTCTGTAGCCGTAGGCGCTGCCGGGCAGGGGAGTCTGGAGCTGGTGGTGCTGGCCGCTGCTCATCGGGGGCCGGGAATCGACCTCGTAGAAGTTGGCTTGCTCCATGAAGCACCTACAGCCTGCCGGGCATGGTGAAGGGCTCCGGCAATCCAGGGTTCGGACGGGGCGGCGGCGGCTCTGCCAAGCCCGCAGCACCCCGCGCTCCCCCGGCTCGGCGCGGCTCCGCTCGGCGCGCCCGGAGCCCGTCCCCCGCCCCAGCCCGCCCGAGCCCCGCTCGCCGCCTGCCTGCCTTGCCCTGTTCCTAGTGGGTTGCCTCGGTCCTGCGTGCCGTATATATACACCCCCGCAGCAGGGCCGGGGATCGCCCTCTAGTGTCCTGCTGGGAACCTCTGACCACCGCGCCCCGGGTCTTAGCGCCCCGGCCCGGCCGTCCGCCCTCCCCCAGGAGCTCTGCTTTCACCGAGCCCCGCGCGGGGCCCTGCGCTCCGCCCGCCCGCCCGCTGAGCTCTGGGGGCTCGGAGCCCGGAGCGCCCGGTCCCGTGCCACCGGGAATGGCCCCGAAGTTTACCATCGCGCGCGAACTCGCGGACGCTGGGCCGGACGGGAGGCTGGGCCCGCCCCTGTGGCCCGAGGCACCGTCCCAGCGGAGCTACCGGAGCTTGGCCCGGTTCGACGCGCGAGGTTCATCAGCTGAGCCCCGTGGGGACCCGCGGAGCGCGGCCCCGAGCGGCGCTAGGACCCGGCCGGGAGCGCGCCCGGTGGGGCGGGGCTGCGGGGCTCCGCGCTGCGGGACGGGGCCGGGGGCAGTGCCGGGCCGGGACGCGCTGCTGCTGATCCACGGCTTCCACCGTACGCTGGCGGTGGAGGGGATGAACGCGCGGGGCTGTCCCTCCGTCCCGTCCCGGGACGCGAATCGGGCAGGTAAATTTAATGACGGATTTCCCCAAATGCAAACACCGCAATCTTGGGCTGTGTCGAGCACGGACCGGCTCCCGAGACAAACCTCGGGAGTGCGGCAGCGTGCCGCTCGAAGGCGAAACGCCGGGCTCAGCTCCGTGTCCCCTCTGGGCAGCCGGTGGGAGAGCCGCGGCCCGAGGAGCCCGCGTTCCCTGCCCGGGACGGATTAGGGGCACGGAACTGCCGCCTCCCCACCCGGCCGTACCTGCCGGCGCCTAGATCCGCTTGCCCCGGTTGCTCAGAAAGCAGCACAGGGGATGGAAGGACGCACCGCGGCCGGTGAAGCAGGTGCAGACAATGGCGAGAGGGAGATCGGCAGAGAAAACCCCAATGTATCTATGGCTACAGAAAGAATTGCTGCATTTCTTAGTCCTGGATGGCTGAATGAACCAGAAGCTAATGATATCAAATTGCTTGCTCAGAATTCCTTGCAATTCATAGTGACTGGCAAAGCCTTAGGAACAAACCCACCACGAACCAAAAGCCACGTTTAGGGTCACACGTGAACCTCTGCTCTCCACTCAGGCACGAGGCCAGCAGCCAGCACAGCCTTCTGCACTGAGCTGTCCTTACAGGAGAGCCTGTTTGGTGGGAGATGTTCATAAAGAACGCAGAACACACAGATTCTATGATTCTGTGAGCGTACCTTTCATCTTTCAGTGTCAACAGAAAAAAAATATCCTAACTGCTTTTTATATATGGTGTCTTCTGAAATTATGATATACATTGGTTTCAGCACGTAACATTGGGTAGAAAGGATATGCGCTGCCTGATCAAGCAAAGCACCCATATGGAAGAAGAACTCCAAAGTTATGATAGAGAGGAAAATCCCCTATCCTGTGTCAGAAATGCTTCAGCGTGGGCAGAAATCACAGAATCACAGAACCACAGAGGCTGGGAGGGACCTGAAGAGATCATGGAGTCCAACCCCTGCTACACAGGTTCCATACAGCAGGTCACACTGCTCGGTGTCCACGGGGTTTTGAATATCTCTATGGAAGAAGGCAAAGACCCAACATCCTCTCTGGGCAACCCTGCCACATCTGGCTGTGCAGATCTTGCAGGCTCTGTCCCAGCAAACCCATTTGCAGGAGAGGGGCAGATGCCGACCCAGGCTTGCTGATGCCATAGGACCCAGCTGGCCCAGCAGCCAGTGCTGGCAATGCTGAGCTTCCTGCAGCCACATTGCGCTCTGAAGGCGGCAGGCAGGAACCGGCCATGCACAGCAAAAGGTCCGAACTGCAGCAGCAGTGGGAGAACAGAACTCACTTTGACACTGAGCAACAATACTGATGCCTCTGTAGTCTCACATTTTAGAATTGTTCTGAAAATTAAGGTCTAACCACACATTAAGAGAAATTCAAAGCAAATCAGAAAGTTTAGGATCAGATTCCATTCCTAATTACTGTAATTAACAAACAAGTCCCCGCAACTTAAGGACTGGTTTGCTCAGTATTTTTTACACAGACCCCTTTTATCTCAGTGAAGTACTTTTAAATAATCTCTTTTTGCACAAAAATATTAATTCCTGTTCAAATTCTTTTAAGATGGTATAAAACAAGTTTCCCAGACTTAAATAAGTAGGGCAATTCCTTTTTGAATGCCTCTTCTCCTAAGGCAAATGCCATGCTTAGCAGCTGCCATCCCTCGGACAGGCACAGATTTCCACACCCAAACCGACCGATGCCAAACACTTCACATGTGATGGCAAAAGAAACGTTTATGTCTCGTTGCCTCGGCCACATGTGCCAGTGTGTTTGTTAACAAAAGGAGGAAGGGTGCCCGCCCAGTGCTGTGGAGCCCTGGAGCAGCACGGCCGTCAACTCTTGAGGGTGCTGTTCTTCCATCGCACAGCAGATCGCACCAGGGAGGGCTGGGAAAGCACTCCAAAACCCTGAGCACTGCTGAGAGCCATCACACAAAGTTGGCCGTACTGGTTTCTGTTGGTAGGGAAGGAAACAAGAGAAAATCACAGCAATGGAGGAAATAAATATCCTTGCTGAATTTTGAAGTGAATTTTGGGACTGTTTTTAATTGCACCACAAAAGTGGCTGCTCTGAATGTTTCCCGACATCAGCCCCTGCACCATCTGCAGGGTGCAGGCACAGTGCTCTGCTCTGATCCATCAGCATGGAACTGCACACAGAACCTGGCATGTGGCAGCCCAGTAAAGAACCAAAAGGTCTCTTTATTTTACTACTTTGTTAACTGAGAACATGTCACTGCTACTGACAAAGCTCCAGAATGTCCTGACGGCATGCAAACCTCCTCCTGGCACCAGTGCCAGCCCCTCCTCTGTTCCTGACAGAGGAAAAAAAGCAGGGCCAGGGTGTGCACTGGGGGCAGCAGGGCAGGAATGGGGCACAGTCCTCAGCTGGGGACAGCGCTGTGCCACAGGTGCACCAGGGGAGCAGGCAAGGATGGGCAGCACTTTTGTATGTGATGAGGAGCTGCCAATTTACTGCCTTTACTTCTCGAGGTGCAATGAAACACAAACTTCATCCTTCTCCTCTGTTTTCTGCCCTAGAGAGGGAAAACATGACCTGCACATGGAAAGGCTGCCACTCATGACAATTTTCAAAGGAGAAGGCTGTACATGCTGAAGCCTCGCAGGTTGGTAGAGCAGTATGCAGCACAACAAGTCAGCCAGGGCCTTCCTTTCACCTGGTAACAGCAGCTGGGGACTGATGACCATTGTATGTGCAGAGTTTGGTTCAATGCCAGGTGGTTTAATTACTACAGCTCTTCTTCTTTGGAGGAAGAGCGTTTGCAACTGCAAGGTGGATGAAGTCAAATCCATGCTAACCTTCCTGTTCCCTTTCCATGTCATTTCCCTTTCCATATCATATCCTCACAGTCTCTGTGACAGTGTCCTCAACCCTTGCTGTCCTTGTGCTCAGCTAACTTCTAGCTCCTCTCCCAAGAGCATCGCTGCAATTACCATGCTAGATGCCTGGGAGCATCTCTTCACTCAATCAGCCTGCCTACTGCCTGCTTCCATCCACTTGTGCCTCATAGCCTGTCCTTTCCTACCTGTCACCTGTAACCATGTACAGCCGGGCTGTGAAACCTGCTCATATTTTGTACCCAGTTAGTGAGCCATTAAATGGTTAGTTTCCCTTTTACAATCAGGATTGTATTTCAGTGACCACATTTGTGGTGCCCAAGAATATTCTGAATGCTTTACAGATACCAGATTTAGTTCTGTCCCCTCCAGAATACAGCTCAAATGCCACAGACACAGAAAAGGAGGATGTGACAGCACCGCACCTCATCTCACTGCAGTGGTCTCTTCTGCCTTACCACAGCACCACCTTTATCTCAAGAATTCACCAAATCACATTTACAGTTCTCTTACTGATACACATCAGTTACCACATTACTCAGTACTTGGCCTACCCACAAGTCGCTCATTCTCTCTCTACTCTTCTACCTCACACTAAACAACATCCTTCCTTCCTTTCCCTCCTGAATTTAACTTTCTAATCTTTTGTCTACCTTACAAACTTCAGTGGTTTCTATCATCGATAGCTCAGGATCCTTTATTCATCCATGGTTACATCTCACTGGGAGGTGGAGCAGCACTGTTGCTCTATTTCTCAGCTACAGAGCTGGAAGAGGGAACGATTTGCCAAGGCCACACAAGAAATGAGTAGTCAAGCTCAGCATATCTTCTCCCACATGTCCTGTGCTAACATCACAAACAGTGAGCATGCAAAAATTTGACCACCACTTCCCTCACATGAAATGCTTTCTTTTTCACATATTTTCCTGCTATTTTTTTCTTTAAAAAGTAAAATTAAAAAAAAAAAAATTAACACTATTATGTTAAAGTAAATTGCCAAGAAAATGTCATTCTTTTCTTTCTTATTTTTCCCATTGAATGCTTAATGGAGCATATAAGAAATATGGCTCCTACCTTTCCTAGCTCCTGTGCACTGAATGGAAGCCTTATAGCCCTGAGTCAGTACTGGCATGGACCTGAGCTAACAGACACATGCTGCAGCAGAACAGTAACAGGGCAATGAGTGCCATCATCCAAACTCTGATCCCAGCTTTGCTTTAAGGGGCAGAAAGTTCTCAAAATCTCTCTGAAGATTTTAACTGTCAGTATATTGCATTGTCCGGGACATAATAACAAAAGAAGGAGATTTAAACTCCTGACAAACCCAGACAAACAGACCCCAGCTTCCTCCTCTCTGTACACAGGACACCAACTTCAGGCATTTAACTTAGATGTCAAGTGCCCGCATGAGC